AGCGTCCCGTCTATCTAGGTCGCCCTTTCGAGGATACCTTATGGAAGGTAAATCCAGGTAACCCCGATGTGCTCGCAAAAAACATCCCGACCAAAGATCGACCAAGGATCGACCAAAGATCGACGAAAGATCGACGAAAGATCGACGAAGGAGCGACCAAAGATCGACCAAAGATCGACGAAAGATCGACCCAGTCCCACCTCTCTCTGTCCACGAAATCGAGGAGTGAGGCCTCGGCTAATTTACGCAAAGTGGATCGGCGGGTTACACGGCAATTATTATAATCAGTGCCAGGGGGCAGAAGAGGGCAGTGGATTAAAATTTCAAATGCACTCATTCAGGAACGCAAACTCGATCTTGAGACACGGCCGTCCCGAGTGGCGACGCGAACGCGACGTAACACTGCCGACGATATTTACATTGTTCCCTCGGCAAGGTAAAAAGGTGATAAAAGGCGGGAAAAAGTGTCGAGTCCTCCGACGAGCACGTGGACATGGCTTTTCCGAATTTCTAGCGAGGAGCTAAAAGGCCTCGGTATATTTGTCTAATCAAACATGTTCTCCATATGACCGAGCAAATATTGATCCGCTCGCCGATCGGCCGCGTCCCATTAGGATAATCTCCGACGGCTTTGACGTAATCGCTGTGAAAATCGAATGTATATGCCGCGACGGTTTTGACGACGACGCGTCGAGGTCGAGGAGCTTGAATGACGACCGGGTGAGTACTTGCGAATTGCGCGCGCACCGACGTATTCGCGCAATTTTACGCGTACTGACGTAATCGCGCTTTTCTGACCGCGCAAACGTATTCACGAAATTTTACGCACGGAGACGTACTCGTGGAATTTTAAGCGTACCGAGATATTCGCTCAATTTTACGCACAAAGACGTACTCACGGAATTTTAAGGTGAAGTGAAACATGTCGAGGAACTTGATCAACGTCGATAAAGAAGATTTTTCTAATTGCCTACGTTGCCGACGTTCGTTTTTATATTGACAGCTATATCGAATTATATTGGGTACGGTACCAAATGGCGTACTCCACCTGTCGTTTTCGTACAATAATTATAAAGAAATCGAAGTAAAACTCCAGAAATCCTCTGGATTCATGCCTTCTGGGGCCCTAATTGACTGCGGAGGGACCCCCTGCGCCATCTGTGATTTCCAGGTCAATTAAATTTTCACTCCGAGACCTCGTATTCCCATCGTTTTAGCATAGAAGCGCATACAACACTTTTTTTGCCCTTATCCTGTTCAAATGCGAGTTTATCGATTACCAGAGTGTTCTAAATTGTCGTAAAATTGTCCTGACCCTTTCGATTCTCATATCAGATCCTTCGATAATTGTATATCGATCGAAATATCAGAGCTCGACACCATTTTGGTTCTGGTCTGGACTGAGTAAAAAAATTTGTTTGAAAAATCCAAATTTTGAATGTGTCAGGACAATTCTTAGATGATCAGGAGTGATGTGTCAAAGTTTCGGACAGTTTGGTCTAATACCCTTAAAAAAAAAAGTGTTGTATTCGAATCGACTGATTTGAAGGATGTTTCACTTCACCTTAAGCGTACCGAGATATTCGCTCAATTTTACGCACACCGACGTATTTGCAGGATTGCACGGGTACCTTCGTTCCCAAGTAACGACGCACTCGCGCAATTGCGCGTTCTCTCCATGCACCAGAGTAGTCTCGCGCGTTCATTTATATCTGCACAACCGCGACAGGCAGTCTCGGCCATTATCAGCCGAACCGACAGTCGATCGGCAAACTAATTAAGAATAACCGAATGCGAGGTATTTTTATCGCCGCAAATATTCCGATTCGTCACAACCGCGCGGAAGAGCCGCAGCGCCGCAACGAGTCGGTTCGTCTGCATCCACATTTCCGGCGGCCCTCTTGCCGCAATTTTAAGAATCCGCAGATTGATTGAGAATCCACGACTTCGTGATCTCATCCTCGCACGCGTTAATCATGTGATCCTACTTAATAGTCGGAAAGATACAAGATTAATTTCTGTTTTTTTTTTTTGCGAACACGATCAGCGCCGGTTGAAGCGTTCTCCGTAGTTTCCGCCGATCTTCGGGTCGCGTCGCTGGAAAGCGAAAGGAAAAAACCGAAAAAACCGCCGCCACGTTTGAGGATGCCCTTCGACGATGTCTTTTTGCCGAACAGGAGTGGCTTGGAAAAATCGCGGGGCATCGTCGACGGGTAAATGCGTAAAAACAACGCGGATGGAGCCCGTGACGCTCGTCCGACCGCGTATAGAAAAGGAAAAATACGGGACACGAGACACGGCCGGGAAGGTAAATCCAGGACTCGCGTATCACGGGTGTCAAGGTGTAGTTTTCCACTACGCAAACGGATGAATCGCGAGGAATATCTCCGGACGCCTTCGAGACTCCTAAATATTTATCGAGACCGGCTCCGTTGATATCGGCATACGTTAAGGTGAAGTGAAATGCCCTTCAAATCAGTCGATTCGAATACAACACTTTTGTTAAAGGGTACTAGACCAAACTGTCCGAAACTTTGACACGTCACTCCTGATCATCTAAGAATTGTCCTGACGCATTCAAAATTTCGATTTTTGGAAACAATTTTTTAACTTAGCCCAGACCAGAACAAAAATGGCGTCCAGCTCTCATATTTCGATCAGTATATAATTATCGAAGGTTCTGATATGAGAATCGAAAGGGTCAGGACAATTTAGAACACTCTGGTAACCGATAAACTCGCATTTGAACGGGATAAAGGCAAAAGTGTTGTATGCGCTTCGATGCTAAAACGATGGTAATACGAGGTCTCGGAGGGAAAATTTAATTGACCTGGAAATCACAGATGGCGCAGGGGGTCCCTCTGCAGTCAATTAGGGCCCCAGAAAGCACGAATCCAGAGGATTTCTGGAGTTTTACTTCGATTTCTTGATATTTTTTGTACGAAAACGACAGATGGAGTATGCTATTTGGTACAATATTCACTATAATTCGACACAGCTGTGAATATAAACACGAACATCGGCAACGCAGGCATTTAGAAAAATCTTCTTTATCGACGTCGATCAAGTTCCTCGACGTGTTTCACTTCACCTTAAGAGAGGAAACGCGATCGATCGTCGACGCCTCCGAAATCGAGAGCGACTCCTACTCGGCAGATGTCAAGGCCATTGAGGTAGGTCAGATGGGACTCTTTCGAGTTTCTCGAATTTTCCTACGCAGAGAAAAATAAAGTTAAAAAAAAAACCGAACAACCAGCGCGAATCGATTTCTCCTATTTTTCGATTTTTTTTTTTCTTTTAAACAGAGAGGAATGAAGTTTGGAAAAAAAAATCGAGACGGCGCGATTCGAATTCTCCTACTTTTCGTATACTTTTCGTTTAAACAAAGAGGAATGAAATTCAGGAGAAAAAAAATCGAGACGCGATTCGAATTCTCCTACTTTTCGTATATTTTTTTTTTAAACAAAGAGGAATGAAATTCAAGGAAAAAAATCGAGACAATCGGCGTGACCCCTTCCCCCAAACCGTATAAAACGGTGCGCGTTCCTCCGGCAGCTCCCGGGTTTCCCATAAATCTATTTAGCCAAATCCTCTTTGATTTTAAACAGCTGCGGCCCTCACGGATGCACTTCGGTTGCACCGCCGTTGCACTTCGATCGCGCCGCAGCGGCGTCAGCTGTTTCGGCCGGTCGCGCCTCGAGTAAACTCGATTTCACTCGTGTCAGGGGGGCCCGACATCGACGTTAGATCGTTAAGAAGGCTTTCACACGTTTCCGACTCTTACTCGACGTCGATATTCGAAACACGGGTTTGGTTCGCACGAATTTCTCCGCTGCCGAGGGATAAGTGTGAATGCTACCGGACGTAGATATTCGATTTGATACGTATGAATTAATTCTAACATTATGTCGCGGATATCCGATTTATCCGTTAAACAATATACGGGTGAACGCTGCTATGCAGTCTCACGAATCATGCTATCGGATGTCCATATTCTATTCGGTTTAGTTCGTACGAATTTCTCCACTGCCGCAGGACAGATAAAGGTGAATGCTTCCGTTTTCTTAAATTCCGACGCGGATATCCGACTTGTCCGGGAAATGATACGTGGGAAAGCTGCTATTGCAGTCTTGACAGGCTATCGGATGTCCAATGCGGGTCGGTCCCCGGTACGTGTGAAATCGGGCTAAGACAACACTCCATGGACGCAGGCTGACCACCTGCGCATGGTATAGGAATTTCTCCTTCGGAGGGTCCTCCGCCTTCCGAGCCACCCGAGTAGATTAATCGACTCATGCCCAGGCGGCTTAATCGACCCGTCGAGAATCTTCGAGAGTTTTAATATCACTTAATTCAATTTAATTTCTCTAACGACCCCGAGAGCGCTATCGCGTCCGACAGTGAGGCGTTAAATTACATCCACCGCTTATCCCCCGGGTAAACGGCAGGGCTCCCTCACCGGCTTTCGCTCCTCTTCTCGGAAACTATGAAAAGGGAAAGGTCGGACACGGTTAATAGTCCCCGCTTTGTCGTTTTTGCCGCATTGTCTCCGTTCTCGACGATCACCCGGCGAAGTTATACCGCTTTGCCGGCGCCCGGAAGCCGCCAATACCCGAAAGTCCCATCAACGATGCAACGACAAATCCCCGGCGTGAAACCGGCGGCTTGGATCTCCAAACCGCGCGTCGCACATAACCTCGAATCGTCCTACCGTGTTTAAATCCTCCCTGCGTATTATCCCCGTAGGAGTCCGCATAACCCATCGAAAGATGACCCGTTGTTGCCGCCGCAGCGTCCCGACCGGCGGATAGCGTGTCATATAACCTGACAAGGTTTAACCAAAACTCAACGGCGATTCCCGAGGTAAGTGGGGACGGCGCGTCGCGGACCGCCATTGTTCCCGGGCATACTCTCTTGACAACGTGCACGGTCGGTGGTCGCGTGGAAGACGATTCGCGGAGGTAAATAAATATAAGGGAGCGAGGATCCTTGTCGCTTACCTGACGCGCTGCGAGTAATCCTGGGTAACGAGCTACGGGAGGTGGTTCGACTCCCGGGGACTCTTCGGTCGAGAGGTCGAAGTGGGTCGAGAAGCTTCGTTTCCCGAGCTCGACGGAAAGTCCTGAGCTGACCGGCTCGAGCGTCCCTACGCGACACTAAAGACTAGCTGGCGTCTCGCGAGCGGGCATCTCTTTATTAGTGAATTGGTCCCGGCCCGTGGTCTGACATCAGCCCATGTGGATCCGACCAATGGGCGCGCGCCCGCGGGCCGCGCACGCGCAGACCCCGAACGATCCGTTACTTCCCGGCACGCGCGACCGTCGCGCCACCATTGCTGGCCGTGCCGGCCGCGCGCGTGGTCGCGCGCCGGCGCCGTCGTGATGCCGAGACTCCCAATGATCCTGGACTCGCAAAAAAAAAATCGACCGAGGCGGGTTAACGCGCCAGTCACCCCCTCGCGCCGCCGTAATCTCCCTTCTTATTCCCTGGACATGCCTCGGTCACGTGTCGCCCGTTCTTTTCCCTCTTTTACATAACCTTTCGATTATCACGACCGGCGACTTGCGCGCGTAACCTCGCGGCAGGGTTGGGTAAGTAAAATACCCTAGGTAATTTACGTAGTTTTTTACAGTAATTTACTAGGTATTTTAGTTTACAAATTTCATACGTGAGGTAAATTACATGAATATGGCACTTTACGTTTCTACAGTTCTTATTCCTGATACGCTTAACATTCAAAATTATCCATGGAATGTATGGAAAACTGGAATGTAAAGCCTAGATCTTTTTAATGTTCGCTCCAATTTGCCATTATTCTTTCTTTTTTTTATTAAAATGTTTATTCACGAGTAACGTATACTTTGACCGTTTTGAAAAAGTGAGGCTACAGTACCGCCATCTTTGTCTTGGAATTTATTAGGTATTTTACTTGGATTTTACGTAAAATACTTCCCTTACGTATTTTACGTAAAAAACTGCGAATGACGCGTCCCTGACCAACCCTGCCTCGTGGGTAATTACAAAGAATTCAGAAGTCCCATAGAAGCCCAGATCCTATGTTAGCGCTTGATGCTCTAAAAGTCGGTTAACAAACCAGAGATGGGGGTAAAAGACGGATCGCATGTGTTAGCCAACGATATCTCACATACGGAAGGAAGAGAGATGCATACAGAAAGACGAGTATTGGATGTAAGATAAAGAAAGAATGCAATTCGCTATATATCGCCATAAGATTAAGGGAAATGGAGAGATGATTACAGCGCCGCCATTCGTTGGCTATCATACTATTTATCGAGCATCGAACGTCCGTATCCTTCTGGACCTCTATGGAGACTTCTGAATTCTTTGGTAGTTATCACAGTCGGTGCACCGCTACATCCTTCCTCTGCCTTTCTTCCACACACAACCCTTTCACTTTCGAGAAAGGTTCGAAACGCTCTTCCATTATATATCTCGTCCTACGTATCCGAAAAGTCATGCGCGCGCATCGGTGCGGGTTAATTCGATTAGGCTCAATGGGGGCTGTGATAATCCTGGCATAGATACGGAACTTCTATATTTGCATGTATTCTATGAAGCTCCTTGAATGATGTACTTTTCCGCTTACCGGAGAATATCAGCAAGGTTAGAGATGTTACTTCGATGACGACTGTCGATATATTAGCCGGTTTGGAGATAGCACGGGGAGGAATGAATTACTTGCAATTACCGATATCTTTACCTCATTCACGGTGTAATTTCACTTAATTGGGGCGATAGAGTTCTTAATACTTACTCTTCGGAGTGTGACGTACGGCTAACCTGTAAACGTACACATGTCCCTTGTTTATATTTATCCGTAATGATTAAAACCGAGCTCGCGATAAATATTAATGATAAAACAGACCAGTCCGAAAAGAAAATCGGCACGCGTCGGTCACATGTCGCGCGACTTCCCTTCTTTACATAACGCGCCGGTTATCGCGCCCCCACGGCGTGCGTCGCAACGCGCTCGAACCATGCGAAGATCGATACCGGCTTCTCGCTTCCCCTTCCTAAGCGCCCACCAGCGACCTCCCTGTCTTTCTCCGTAGCGGAAGAATCTGCCGATTGCACGTTGAGAGGGAAAAATTCCACGGAGGAGGCTCCATTCTCTGTTAAATCCTCGCATTCCCCAGTATCTTCCATCGGCGAACAATTCCGTCCACGGCCGAGGCCCACCGGGTCCTCAGGACGCGCGTCCTTTCCATTGGAACTGGCCGCACGCGACCCTTTCTCCTGGGCCGCCGCGCGTGGACCCTCGCTATTGGCCGAGCAGCCAACATGGCCGCCGTCTGGGCCAACCTCGGGATCTATTCCTCGGCTCGACGCGTATTTGCCGATTTTACGCATTTTTAATCGCCGGTGGGACTCGAGGGGCGGCGCACGTCACGGACAGACTTTTGAGCTACTTACTAAATGCACCTACGATCTTCTGCAGGCACTTTCTTCGATGATTCCTTCCGTGGTTCTCCCCCTCAGTGTCTGCCGGCCTCGGTCGAGACCGTGAACGATGTGGTTCCTCTTTGTGCCGCAAGGCGTTCCGCGCGTTCCGCAAGGCGCACGAAATTTCGCCGGTAAGGGTCCACCGTCCCAGTTTTCCGTGTCGTAGGCCACCTCCTCGGTAATTTTCGGAAAATTTTCTGACTTTTCCTTGAGGTATGAAGAAATGAAGCTGCGATTGCTGCTTTCCACTGCTACTCGGGCAATTTCACAAGAGAAAGCTGGCAAATCGCGTCTTTACGTTCGACTACGGGTTTTGGAAATTTAAATTCTATTGGAACGTTTCCAGTCGATCGTGTTTAGTATTACTTTTGTTCTTATTTTAGTTATTATATGTTCATTATTATTTTAGTTATTATATGCTCATTATTTTCATCCGAATCAAAACGGGGGTCGACATTGAGAGTTATGGAATGCTAATTCCGGCGATGGAGAAAGATCCTGTTGGCTGGTGACACTTAAGTCGCTGACAGTCTAGATTGAACTTCTGAGACCTCGCCTAGCCTTAACGAGATCTTTATTCATCGGTCAAAACGTTCCCCGACCTGTCGTGCCGTTGATCTCGAGATGGTTCAGAAGTCGCGACATGTGCCTTAGACGTGTTGACCATAATGCGAGTAAACGGCCAATCTTGCCTGACTTGATCGAAATTCAATTAGACGGTTCAAAGAGCTTTCAGGGTCCATTGACTCTTTGCAACCGTCAAAGCTTGTTGATAACAAGGAGCCGTGTTTTTCCGAAAGATCGCGTCAAGTACATTCATGCTTGTAAAACGGAGTATTTGAAATATTTGAGATTCAAACTCCGAGAGCTCTTACTCATATCCCACTTTTAGCAGCGCTTTTAAACGTTTTTTAGTTATAGATGATCAGACCGCTGTTAAAAGACGGCATACTCATACCTTCTTTTATGGCCGCTTTTAGTTAAATGGCCGAACTTACGATATGTAATATGACAGCGTGGGAAAAATGTGACGACTGCGTTACGCGCATGCACTCCGCGTGCTCAGTGCATGCGTTTTTTGTATACCAAAAGTTCAGAGTCTGCTGAACTTTGTCGCAAAAATGGAAGCGAGTTTGACAGAATAAAGCCGGAACCAAAGCCCAATTTCTTGGCTAGCCAAGAACGATAAATTCGACTTCAAAAGTCCCTCGTATTTAGTTGATTCCCTGTGTTCACTTCGCGAGCTTTTGCTTTGGGAAAAATGTCGTTAATGCATTCCATTTTTCATGTACGATTTTGACATCTAAAAGCTGTCAAAAATTGATGTATGATTTTGACAGCTAAAAGTGGTTTAAAAGTCCCCCTACCCACTTTTAGGGAATAGTCGCTCACTTTTATCTTACAAGCGCTTAAAAAGAAGCTTAAAAGAGGGTATGAGGAGGTATTGCTGCTAAAATACATCTTATATAGCTTCTTTTAAGGATTTTCTATAAAAGTGGTTTAAAAGCGAGACACGAGTAGGGTCGCTTTTAACAGTGTTCTAAAATACGTCTTTTAACGCTAAAAGTGAGATATGAGTAAGGACTTTGACGAGAAATGATTTACTATCGAAAAATGGAATTGGAACTTTCCAACTTCACAGAGGATGCCTCGACGTCGGACGTTTCTCATTCAGAACGCATGATTCGATTTCTAAAAGTTCAAAGATGGTTCGATACCGCTATGACCCGGTCAAAACGTCTGATAATCTCTTTATGTATTGTTGGAAATCTGCAACGCTTGACGTTACTCGCTTTATTTTATTCCTTTTGTCGGACTCATGTTGACGTAATTTCACTGCAAAAGGACTCAAAGGACACTCAAATCATGCTGACGGTCGAAATCGGGAATTTTAAACCTGAAAATTATTAAATGTCTCTTTCTATTATTCCATTTGCATATCGCAGTGCAAAGCTTTCTCGTGGAATCTGTGCTGCTCTCAGCTTTGAAATTTCATCCGCACATGGACCTATATCTGCATCAGCGGCAGACACGCTTATCCCGACCACGTGCGAATTGGTTGATTGGAGGGCAAAGTTTAAATAAATATAGACACATCGATTAGATTGAATTCAGCTGACCGATGCATGACAGAATCGTGACTCCGTTTAGACAATGATATGGAAAATCATTGAATTCATTTTTGCGCTCCCGGAACTCATTCTTCATCGAGCAAGGATTGCACCAACAACTCCCTTGACGTTAATTATAGTAGACATTTTTATCGCCTTTACTTCTTTCCGGATGCCTTCAATTTTTCCATTTCTTCTTCGAGCCTCTGCAACTCCAGTTCTATCGCTCTTTGCTTCTTCTTCGCCATAGGGGTTTTAGTCAACCAAGCTACAAGTTACCCGATAATTTTTAAACATTTAAAAAATTATCAAATGGCTCTGTAGACGTATCAGTTTTTAAATATTCACCCAAAAACGTGTCTTCCTCCTCGCGATAAACTGGATCTCTCAAGCTCAAGGCATTCACCAGTTCTCCGTGCGTAAGCGGTTGGACTCTCAGCTGGACCATCCTCTTTGTGGTCATAATCTGTATTTTTTTTAATATTTTTTAGAATAAGTATCGATGCTAATAATCATGACTGCCATGAGACGGCTAGCAAGTCAATATACCTCGTTAATAGCCTCCAACACTTTTCCAATGGTATATCCATCGCAGGCTCTGGTCATTGACGAAATGTCAAACTGCCTGCTAATTCCTGCGTACTGCAATTTTCGAAAAGTGCATCTCATACGCAATATTTTTAATATTTTCTCAATACCTTGAATAGCAGATCTCGCCAGATCAGGGACATGGTACCGTAGTCTGGTCTGGGAACGTAAATAATTTTGTCATAGGTTTGAAACAAAAGCTTTTGGTCCGCATCCCATGGAGCACTCGAGGTACCGATTACGATAATTCGGTCGTCGTTCATGATGCTCTTCACAAATTTAATCAAATCCTTCTTCAGTCGTTTCGGGTCTGTCTTGTCCGTCTTAGGTACCTTCTTTACGAAAGGCTTTTCCGCTCCATCCATGAATATCACCGAAGGTTGCAGTAATCGGGAGACCTTTGCAAAATAAATGTCGTATCGGTAGATGATTCCAACGAGAAACGCTGTAACTTTACCTTTGATATTAAATGCATCAGCATAATGAGGCCAGGCTTTCCAGGATATTTCCCAGCAATGTTTGCAGGAGTCAAATCGAACAATGTGGCCCCCAGCTCGGTGCAGATTGCGTTTACCAACATTTTTTTCCCACTGCCCTGTGGTCCTGTTATCAGGACAGATCTCACCAAAGGAGTGAGCTCTCTGATGGTTTCGTTGCCGAGAGGAATAATGCAATATTCGGTTATCACCTGTTTGATATCTCCTGAAAATCGCAGCGAAATAACATCCGGAGAATATAAAATGAATTACTAGATTCCACCCTAGACGAATTTCAACGAACCGTCGATTTATCATATGTTTACCTAGACTCGGAAGCGGGTCTTTATCTGCTTCCCGAAGATCGAAGTTGGCGTAAGACTTTTCGCCTTTAAAGCTACTCAATCGAATCTCAGGGTGAAACTTGACTATTCCATTCTCTAGGAGTTCTTCCAGGAGCGATTCCGTTGATCTATCCGGTGTAAGGTCTTTTTCCTTTTTTTTCTTGTTCTTCTTACCGCTTCGACGCACCTTCTTCGCTGGCGGTTTCTGGCGTTTACCTTTTATTCCCATGTCTCTGTCTAAGGCGATCTGTAAAGCCTCGATATCCTCTGTAAATTGAATGTGGGATTGAGATACCGTCAACTTTCATCCTGAAGTAATTCTCCTGCGATCTCGATTTTCTAGAAAATGAAAAATCTAAGATGAATACAAAATAATATCACCTCTCATCGCCTCGTCCACCACAACCCGAACTTCATCTACTACGAGTTTCGTCTTCTCGTCTTCGATCATATCGAGGTATGGCTCCTGCGCGAAATTCATCGACTCGTCCTTATCTTTCCACGTATCCTGATATTCCTGATCAGCCTGTATAATTTCTGCCAGGAAATTCGAGGGGATGGGCTTGAATCCTGGATCGGACTCCTCTTCCGATTGCTCCGACTCCTCGTCCTTTGATTTCGATTTTTTAGATTTCTTCGACGATACCTCACTGGACCTGCTCAAGTTGCTATCCGAGTCCTGAAATCATAAGTTAGATAATCATCTTATTAGGCTGTTTTATGCTTAATTATTCTAATTCACCTGTCGACTAAATATCAATCGAGATCCACCGCTCTCAGCTGATGGTAGATCCGGGATCTTTCCAGTTCGCTCAAAACAGTTCTTGATCCAATTTCGAATATCCGTTCTAAGTTTCTCCTCGATGAGGGCTGTTTTTTCGCTGCGAATCCTCGATTCCGTTTCGACCACAAGTTTCTCATAGCACTCTTGAAACATCAGCTGTTTCTCGTGTCTCCGCAGCTTGGTTTGTTCAATTTGCCTCACACTTTCCGTGATAACTTGACTCGGCTGGAGCATACCTTCAAAATGCAGGGCAATACAGGATGAATCGGTCATTTTACGTTTAATAGTACAAGATTTTACGCAATCGATCAATCACCTATCAGAAACATCTCCTCGATGCGTCTCTTTTTCACTTCACGCCTTGCCATGTATCCTCTCCAGACTTTTTGGATTTTTAAAATCGCCGCCGTTCCACTGGCTTTGTCACTTCCTGCTGGCTCCGATTTCATTATGGATCTATCCTTTATCTCGCAAATTTCCTTCATGAATTGAAATCTCATGCGACCTTGTCGAGCTCGTTCGTTTTTCTGTTACGATAATTTTTATTTAAATATGATTACACATGCAGTTCCGATTCCATATATATGCATAATGGATTGACATTGTTCAAACGTATATATCTACGTTCATGTAAATATTACTAGCTAGATAATATTTTTAACAGTGGCTTGAAAACTTTAAATTAACACAGAAATTAAATACGTATTAAATTCATGTTTGTATATACATTTCACATAATTTATGACGTTAGGATCTACTGATCTACAGCGAGAAAACCTGATGCGTATGCGAGCATGTGACATAAAATGGATGTCAAAACATCAACAGCAATTGAACTCTGGCAAAAAGGGGAATTTATGTAATAATGTAAGAAATCACACAAGTGCTGGGAGAATTTTTTTGCAAAGCATGTTACGTGTCGAATTTATTCCCACATGATGACCTGTATCATCCGAATGGCTTCAGCTTCGGTCATTATTTTCGGAATAGGCTTTTCCTCGAGAGTTCCCAAATTCCTCAGGGTGTCTTGTATGAACTTCCTTCTTTCGGCTATCTCCTTCTCGCGTTCTCGTAGGAAATACGTTGGCACTTGTATCTCAGCCTCCTGGGGTAATATGTTATATTTGAGGAGTACATCGTCGTAGTAATTATACTCGGAAAGGTCGATCTCGACGAGCTCGTGTTTTAACTCAACGGCTCTGCCTAAAGTCGAGTCTAGGAGCTTTCTAATAACGAGTCTTTTTTGGGGCTGGACGATTTGGTCGTAGCACTCGTTAAGATTGTTGCAAATAACGACATATCTCACGTAAAGATCCGCCACGTCGTAGTGAGCTTTTTTTCGGTCTTTGTGCGGTTCCGAGCTTTGCAAAATCGTGTCTGCTCGAATTATTTCTTGCAGAGCGGACTGAGTGCTTTTCCAGAGCTCGTTATAGGTGACGTTTGACATTTCGATTACGAAATCTCCATCAGATCTGGCGTATACTCGATACGACGTATGTAAGTGTATATTTGGCGTGAAACTCCACCGAGTTTAATGATAACAACGCGTGGTAAGGTAACGATGAGGTAACAATGCCAAGATTACGGGTGTACTCTGCTGGAGGTGGTCAACAATGGTTACCGTTGCTAGGTAACAAACTTTGCGTCCAATCTACGTTAACACGTTGACTACCACGCGCATTTTATTTGACTGCTATGTCACCCGAATATGGGTGACGTGGCAGTCAACGTGTTAAGGTGAAGTGAAACCCCCTTCAAATCAGTCGATTCGTATACAACACTTTTTTTTAAGGGTATTACATCAAACTGTCCGAAACTTTGACACGTCACTCCTGATCATCTAAGAATTGTCCTGACACATTCAAAATTTGGATTTTTGAAAAAAAATGTTTAACTTAGCCCAGACCAGAACCAAAATAGCGTCCAGCTCTCATATTTCGATCAATATACAATTATCGAAGGCTCCGATATGAAAAACGAAAGGGTCAGGACAATTTTACAACAATTTAGAACATTCTGATAATCGATAAACTCGCATTTAAACGAGATAAAGGTAAAAAAAGTGTTGTATGGGCTTCTATGCTAAAACAATGGGAATACAAGGTCCTGGCGGGAAAATTTAATTGATCTGGAAATCACAGATGACGCAGGGTGTCCCTTTGCAGGCAATTAGGGCCCCAGAAAACATGAATTCAGAGGATTTCTGGAGTTTTACTTCGATTTCTTGATGTTTATTGTACAAAAACGACAGGTGGAGTATGGCATTTGGTATAATATCCAATATAATTCGACACAGCTGTCAATGTAAAAACGAACGTCGGCAACGTAGGCATTTAGAAAAATCTTCTTTATCGACGTCGATCAAGTTCCTCGACGTGTTTCACTTCACCTTAAAGAAGGTGTTGCTTCGCAATGAATTCGAACAATCAATTTTTCCTTCGTTTTACGGCGCATATCCATTACCTAATGTTCTAACAGGGAACGAGAAGGAAACGAGACCCGTATTTTTGTGGAATTTAATGCCTTGTTTAAAGCGATTATCAATCAGCAATTAACGTTTTCATTTAAATTCCTCTTTGGGGCAAGAAATCTGGGGATAAACTCATGGTAATTAGGTTTGGAGTATTTTTCCTAGTTAGGTGACTCGTATTCTCACGAAGAAAATTATTTCCGTGTCCTTCTCTTTCACTCGACTTGAAGTTCAAGATCCTGACTTGAAGGTCTATGAGGAATCCATATTCGTAAAAAGTGAAGCGGTAGTGTGGGAATACTTAGTCAGAATCTGAAATTTGTCAGGCATTGTAGCTGTAATGGTATGCGCATCGCTCAAATTAATCGTTTTCCACTCAAAATGTGCGGTTCAATTATTCGTTTCCGGCGGCGATGATTTCAGGACATTACCGATTGTTATCGTATCAAAGGAACACTTGTATTTTTATGTGTTAGTGGTTGAGAGTAGCAGAAAGTCCATTTTACATATTCTGTTGTTTAACGACCCTCCACTGAAAAATTTTTTACACTTAATGTGGACACGATCCTTGTTCCGCGACAGATTCAGACGTTATCTACTAATTCAAGAACTCTGCTTTAGGTTCTTTTTATAATCGAGGTGTGAACTCAGTTTCACAGAAATTTAGACCGACAGTAGGTAGTCTGAATTTATCGATTAAGACGAAGCTTGTTCATGATAAAAATCGACCATTTTCGGCGAGGGGCCGTTAGATGGCAGCACCTCGCGATGACGTCTAAATTGGACCGTGAGTACTCTCTATTACTCGTTGCATCTATGGCGAATACCTGAAATTCACCCTCGTTCACGCAAATGCCGGTGAAGGAAGAAGCTATACCGCCAAGCATTTTTGAGCGAGCACGTCTTGTATACCGAAGGTCAGAGGTAACGGAATTTCAATATTCCATCGATTTTGAAATATGGAGACCGAGGAAAACGAGCGCAATATACTTCAGGACATTTTGAGCGCTGAGGAAATATCTCAGATTCCCGATGGAATCGCCAAGAAACTGAAGTCGTACTTTAACGACAAGTTTGAAGAATTCATCACCGCCAAGGCAGTTTTCGAGACAAGTCGACAAAATCTTGGTTGGTTCTAATAAATAGTTCATTATTTTTTGTTTAACCGATTTTAGATGCTCCTATCATTCAAGTTTGAGATACGTTTAGCATAGATAACCTAAATATTTATCAACGAAGGAATGTTATGCTTCTAGAGGTTCTCGACAATCTATTATTTCATGTAGTATCAGAAGTAATTATTAATTGCATTTCTGAATCTAGAGGAAAATTTCTAATTGTGTTACGTACTTTGTATTCCATTATTGTATACGTACGATCTTTTACAGAACAGAAATGGGGCATTTTAAAAAAAGAATACGATGAACAGAAACTAGATTTCGAAGAATGTAAAGGGAAGTTGAATTTAGCTGAGAAATTCACGCAGGAACTGCAAAGCAATCTTGACGATGCCAAGAGCGAAATTTATAAGCTTCAGGAGACGATTAAAAGGTATATGAGTATTCACGCAAATTTGGACTATTTGAAAATACTTATTTCTTGAACGTCTTATGAATCGTGTTTGATGTACAGATTGGAAAAGGAAAATTCAGATTTTCGGCGTCAACGAGATGCAGCTGCTGACGAGAGAGATACCTTGCATTTACAAGTGGAGCGGCGTGATGCCGAAGTGGAAAGAATGCGTACCGAGCTTAATTCACTTGGTGCTCAATTACAAACCGCTGTTGCTGCTAAATGTCAAGCGCTTGCTGATATGGAAGAAGTACACAGTAGAGAAATGACCTTGGACTTTAAGTACGTATTCTTGTGACAGATTATTTTCAATTCAAACTTATTTTGTCATTCATTTTTTGTTATTTTCAGAGAAAAACGACTAGATCAAGAACGGACTCTGTTGACTCAACAAATGGCTAGTTTGGAAGAGGAACTTGCGAAGAGGACATCCGAGTTACAGTCGGTACGTGCTGAAGCTTCGGCACGTGCTCTATTGACTGACACACGATTGGCTCAAAGAGAGGAAGAACTACGAATCGCAAATGAAGCCAATGCACAATTGCGTGAGACCAATACAAATTTCCAACGGCGGTGTGAAGAACTTGCCCAAAAATTAGAGGAACAGAGAACACATGAGCTTTCTATGCATGCCTCATATCGTGAGGAAGTGGGAGCTCAGACAAGATTAGCAGATCTTTACAAAGGAATGTCTGACGAGGCAAATGCTAAAGCGGATGAATTTAGTAATGCAGTGAAAGAACTACAAGAACTCTTAGAGCATGCAACAGAACAATATGGTGCTTTGGAGACCACGCACAATGAACTCCAACTTAACCATGAACGTGAACTTGCTGAAAGGCAAACTAAAATTGACGAATTGTCTAAGGAACTTGAACACGCCAATGATTTGCTTAAGAATATTAAACAAGGTAATATTCTTTTAAATGAGTTATTTTTTTACCGAAGTTATGTACAAAAATTAACATATCAAAAGTTTTACTTTAGAGAGACTGGATCAAGCCGTAGAACAGTTAGCACCAACTGCTGCAGTCACTAGTCGCATACTCAAAAAGGGACTTAGTCTAACGCAGATTTATACTCAGTTGATCGAGGTGAGCAATGAATTAACTTTTGAACGGGAAGAAAACGAGAGACTGAAGTCACAGATGGATGTTATCCTTCGTGAATTAGAAGAAAAAGCTCCATTGCTAAAGCAGCAGAATGAAAATTATGAGGCTGCTGTAGCAAATGTGACGGAATTGACGTCGCGGCTTGATGAACTCTTATCAGAAAATAATCGCTTGCGCGAGGTTGCAGACGATGCAACGAGAACGTCTACCCACCATACTCGAGAAAATCAGAAATTAAAAACAGAATTGGCAGATTTGGCTAGACAGGTTTGTAAGACTCACACTATCATAACAAGTAAAAGTTACGTTATTCTGGAGACTGGTTATCTAAACTTATATATGTGTATTTTATTTTATATTTTGGTAGGTCTGTTTCCTTCTTAAAGAAGTACAGGAGAGTCGGGGAGGAAGAGCAATTCCTATTGGCGACTTGTCCTCCTCCGCAATGGAGACCGACGACCTTGCCTCGTCACAGATAATCAGTAAAAAACTAGTTACCTTCAGGGACATCGAAGAATTACAAGAGAACAACCAAAAATTATTATCAATAGTCAGAACATTGTCTTCCAGACAAGAAGAAATTGAAAGAGCCACCGATGAAATCAATTCTGGTGAAATGAAAGAGCGATTGGACAGGTAAGTTACTAATGAATGAGTGACAACGCTATATATATTTACTACTTTTATACGATGATTTTTCAGATACTTGGAACAGTTGAACGACATGCAAGCAGCTCAAGACAGGCAAGCAAAAATGTTGGAGGGGTTGCTGCGGCAGCGGGACATGTACAAAAACATGTATCAACAGTGTCTAAACCAAACAGGAACTGTTGAAACAAAAGGTTCAAAGTCTACAATGGAAGATGGTGAAAATGTCGAAGACACGTCACTGGAAAGACAAAACGAAAGTGAAAAACGTAACCAGAATCGCGAGATCGAGGAGAGACACAAGGAAAGCGAAAGAAAAGTGTCTGAACTGGAGAGTAAGTTAAAACAAGTTTCTGACGAATATGACACGTATAAAAAGGAGAAAGCGGCACACGAAAAAATGATGGGCGAGGAGGTAGAGAGGCTGCGCAAGGAAGCAGAAGGCAATTCTACGCGTTGTTGCCGATTGAAGGCACAGTTGGACTCCGCCAACGAGAGGTTCCATCTTTTGCAAGCCAACGTAGCTTCGTATAAGTCTCAGATTAAGGTTCTGGAAGAGAAATGTAACAACTATAGTACTACAATTGGTGCGTATCCATACTTTATACGTTTAATAATTATTTCCTCCGTTACATCCCCATCACCTGGCAAATTATTAATTTCATTATGTATTCGAAAATTAGGGAAACACGAGCAGAGCATCATGATCTTGAAAGACGAGACCCTGTCTGCCCAGACGCGTCTCTCTCGCGCCGAAGTGCAGTTGGAGAACATCAGACAAGAGAGGCAGCTCTTGCGCGATTCCGAAGGCCGATTGCTGAAGGAACGTGAAGTTCTACAGCGAGAAAGGCAGACGCAGTCGTTGTTGAGGGCGGATGTAGAGGCGATTAAAGCCAGCATCGAACGAGCTCAGGCCGAAGGCCAATTACGCGCTGAACAGCGTTTGGATGATGCGACTCGGGAATGCGCTGCCCTCAGAAGACGTCTTCAGGAAGAACAAGATCGGTTCCGGGAACTTGCTTCTCACCTGGAAAAGCAGCTGACTGCGGCTCAAGAAAGATTGGCGGAAGAGCGCGCTTTGGCCGAACGTACTCGAGCTGAACTTGAACAATCTAGAGCTGCCGAAACCGAGAACGCAAAACGCATCGAAGAGCTCTCCGCTAAATTGAGGCAAGCTGCTGCCCATTCCATAGCGAAACCGATAACTGGAGACGAGAACTTAGCGAAGAGACTAAAGGAACTCGAACTCCAACTTGCCGGAAGCCAGGCTGAGGTGAAGTCTCTGACCGATCAACTGAAAGCTGCTCGTCAGCAAGCGCAGCAGTACTGCGACATCGCTGAGAGTGCCGAGACTCAAGTGCGAGAACTTACGGCTGAGTATAACAGAAGGAAGGAAGAGTTGGAGTCCACGTTGAGAGACGTGCGGCAGGAGACGGCCAATTATGAGAAGAGAGTCAAAATGCTGGAAGAGGAACTCGCCAAGGTGTCTCATGGATGTCTGGAAACTGACTCTGAGTTACGGGAAAAACTGATGGATGCAGAGAAAAGCCTGGAAGAAATGGATGAAATTAAGGGTGAGCTTGAATTGCTGAAGAGCGACGTTCAGACCGCGTCTTTAGCTGCGAAGGAAGCGGAAGAGAAATATGCCAGAGAGATGGCCCTGCATTCCGCGGATTTGCAGGTATAACAAGTTGCATTTAATATCGAAATTTATATCGTAAGTATCCGTTAATTTATTGTCTAAACCACAAAATCTTCATTTTTTAGGCATTAGCGAAATTAAAGGAGGAATCTCAGGAAGCCTTGAACAAGATGTCTGCTATGACACAAGAAAGAAACGCGGCAGTGGAGGCCCTAGCATTGGAAACAGCCGCCTGGAAGGAGAGAGAACAAATGCTGCGCGACGAGATGCAAGAGATGCAGAAGCGAATGGAAGACCTCGACGCGCAGAATGCACTTCTGCATGACCAGATCCAAGAGTTGAGCGATCGTTCTGCCATAATGCAGTCTCAGCAATCCAAGTTATCCAGTCGTGATAGTCCGGACACGAGTCTGGAAGCGATGAATCGCAGCTTCACTGACGAAGACTCCAAATCGGCCGAGCAGCTTTTGAGAGTGATGAAGTATTTGAGGAGAGAAAAGGATCTGACAGTAGCTAAGTTTGACGTTCTGCGAGCTGAGAATCTTCGACTTAAATCCCAGGTTGAAGTACGTGTCGAGTAATAAATATGTCGATAGTTTGTACATCAATTTCTCTTAATTTATTCTGGCATTTGTGCTCTAGGTCGCGGAGAGAAGACTGAAGGAGACCGAGGCTTTACTGAACACCGAAAGGGAGAAATCCGAAATAGACGTCGTGACCGTTTCCAAGCATGCCGAGTTGTTGCGCAAAGTTGAAACGCTTAACGCCATCACCGATTCCAACCGAATTCTGCGGGAAGAAAGAGATTCTCTCAGCAGCAAAGTAACCGAGCTCAGTGCAAAAGTTGCATCTCTCTCGGAAGAGGTGGGACCTCTGCGCGACAGAGCTAGAGACTTATCGGCAAAGACCGAAGCACTGATGCAAGAGAATTCCAGCCTGAAGGGCGAAGCAACAAGATGGAGGCAACGCGCAAACGTCTTGGTCGAGAGGGCCAATAAGGCAAGCCCCGAAGACTGGCGCCGTCTGCAAACGGAGCGAGAAAATCTGAGCAAGCTGCTGACTTCGGAACGAGAGACCCATGCAAAGCGAAACGACGAGTTGAACGCGGTCAAGGCAGAAAAGGTGAAACTCGAGGAACAGCTCCAGCAATTGCAGAAACAAGTGCAGACTCAAGGCGAGCAGGTAACGAAGGTCTCGGAGGAGGCGCGGAAGCTGGGTCAGGATTTGACCGAAGCCCTGGCAGACTCCACATCCAAGGCGAAAGACCTGGCGAGTCTGCGAAAGGAACTAGGCGACAAGGAGGCTATCTTGACGGACATCAGGAACAAGGAGTTCCAGATCAGGAAAATAGCCAAGAAGTACAAGACTCAGTTCGAGGAGCTGGCCAAATCCGTTGAGGAGGAAAAGACCAAGACCGAGGAATCCCGAGTCGCGGGCACTGCAGCGGCCAATGAGGAAGCGCTTCAAGTATCCCAAGAGCGCGAGGATCAGCTACGAGAAGAGGGCCGACAAGAATTGCGCCAGGAAAACCAAGAATTGTCCTCGAAGATCGACGAGTTGACGCGTCAGCTAGCGGGAATGCAGGGCGAAATGGACACGTTGAGGAAGGAGATCGAGGTGATAAATAAATCCAGCGTCGAAAAGGAGGAGCGCGCGAAGCAGGTACTGAAAGGAGCGCGGACGAAGATCATGCAACTGACGGAATCGAAGAAGATCTACGAGAAGGAATTGAGCGACTTGAAGACCAAGATAGAATCCAATGCGACCGAGTCCGAGACCACGGAGCATGAGGCCAGGTTGACGGCTCTGAAATCGCAGCTGGAGGGCAGAATCGCGCGTTTGGAGCATGAGAAAGCAGAGGTCCATGCAGAGAAGGAAGCTCTCCTTCAGAGAGTCTCCCAGCTACAAAGACAACTGGCTGGGGTTAGCGGAGTCAGCGCAACCACTGAGCCACCGACTGCCAACATAAAACCAATGTCCGCAAGGGCCGAAACTCCTTTAGCGAGCATTCGCCCCATGAGTGTCGTGGTACAATCCAGAACAGCCGCTGTTCTGCCTACCACTGCCAGTGCCCCTGTGCTGGTTGCTCCCCAGCAACAGCAGCAACAGCAACAGGTTGTCCACACGACGGAGACCAGCTCCCCGACGAGCAGCCACACGGACTACCAGCCAGCAAGCACCAGCAGCAGTTCCTTGCAAACGGCGCCGACTACTCTGAGGCAGCTGGCCGTCCAGCCTCAGCTGAGCGAATCCGCAGAATCTACCCAGAGAGAGGAGTCGGAGATAGCGGAGATGAACATGCAACCACAGCCGTGCCAGCAGCAGCAACAGCAGCAGCAACAGCAAACGGTGGCTTTGGTCAGTCCCAGAGTCGAACAGCAACAACAGCAGCAGCAAGCCGCTGCCAGCGACCAACAGCAAACGGTAGCTAGTAGCTCGACGCAGTCCGTCAGTACTTCTCAGGCCACTTCGGGGCACAAACGTCCGAGAACTCTCGAGTCTTCGACGTCGGGGTCAGTCGTCGAGGGTGGGGAACACGGCAGGCAAGATCAGATACCCAGTCCGAAGGCTAAGAGGAGCAGACAGCAAGAGATGACCTCCACGGCTACTGCCAGCGCGTCCGAAGTTGAATATCAAGTATGTTGAGCGTGCATATCGGAGATTCAATCGTCACCTGCAATCATAGCCATGAATTTGAACGATACTAAAGATCCTTTAATTACTAGGTACCAACGTCCAGCCAACGGGACCAGGATGAGGAGCTGGAAGAAGGTTGCGTGGTGGTGGTGGATTGCGACGAAGGCGAGGGTGGCGGAAACCACCAAGCTCAAGAAGAGGAAGAGTTCGACAATGATCCCTATGAGGAGATGGAAGAGGAGGAGGAAATGCCATATGGAGTCGAGGTAGAGGTAGAGGGCGATAATAACGAGGTTGAGATCATAATGGAGGAGGATTCCACCAGCGTCGAAGTACCGAGGCAAGTGCAGCCAAATTTGGCCTCCAATCAGCAGCAACAACAATCGGAGGCCATCAGCAGTGCCGGTCCCACTGGAGAACCACCGTCTTCCTTCGTTCCGCGTTCTTCTCGGGGCATCGCTCCCATGCCCAGGCAACAACAGCAGCAGCATCTTCTCCTGGTGCGCCTCTTACATCTTGGTATCGAAAACTCGGCCTGAAACGTTTCCAGCACTTTAGCGTACGAATGGATTTTAGCCTCAGCAGGGATACGAGGACGGTGGAGACGACAGCATAGTACCTAGCACACCTACTCTCTTCGTTCCTCGACGAGGTGACTTCGGCGAGGCCGTGAGCTCTCCCCAGGTTCCTCAGGGTCGCTTCACTTTCGGAGACCCAGCGCCGCCTTCCACGGCCTCCTCGGCGCCTTGTCTTGCCACTCCCACAGGGTCGACTGCAAGGGCAATTTTCGGTTCCTCCGGCTCCGGGGTTGCTCAGGTCGTCCAGGAAGGGATGGACGACACCAGGATGGACCTAACTCAGTTGGAGGATGGCGGGACCGGGCGGAGCGTGCCCACCACGCCGCTGCAGGTGTCCCCGGCTGCCGATTTGCCTCCTTCGGTAAGATCGCCATGACGTTGTATCTCTAAAAAAACACGGGTAATGTAATATTCCGCCATTTCGAATGAAGAGGTACTTACCCGAGGTCCTTCTACTTGCAGACGAGCAGCGCAACTTCGGAAGAACAGGAGACTCCCGTTTCGGTGACGGCGATAACCGCAACAGGTACGACAGTGGGTGATAACGAGGAAGAAGCCGCGATCCCTAGTATTCGCGTAATCACTGCTGAAGAGCAGGAACATGCTCAAACAGAGGCAATAACAGAGTCCATCAATGTAACACCAACTGATGGTACGAACTGTGCATGGGATATATACCACCTAGATCTAGTAGTGCGCGCTGGTTACGCGTCCTCCTGGAGTGTACTCGTACGACCGTGTCGGTGAACGACCACTGGTGGACTTTTCACTCGAGTTTCCGCCCTTAGGTGCGAGCTCGGAAGAGGAGAAGCAGTCGGAAGAGGCGGGAGCTTCGGCTTCCGGGACCGCGGACGACGTCGCCGCGGATACCGGAGTCGAAGCTAACGAGGAGTCTAGCGAAATCGTCGAGGAAGACGCCGAAGAGGAAAGCAGAGAAGCCGAGGCCACTCCTTCGAGCAACACGAGACAGAGGACGGCAGCTGCCGCAGCTGCAGCTGCTACAGGATCCGCTGCTACGAATGGCACTCCCAGGGGATCGACCGCGAGAAGATCGGCTAGGACGCCCTTCAGGGCTGCTCGGGGCTCTCGACCTACTCCCATCGTTTGGGGGGACAATCAAGCGAATCGAGGTTTTTAATTTAACTTATTTAGCTGTTTTCCTTGAGAGGATTTTTCCTTTAGCCGCGTTGTCTGTTCTAGGTCAAGGAATGCGTGGACATCCTAGCCGGGGGGCCAGCAACGAAACCAGGGGCAGGGGCTCCAGGGGTCGTCGGATTCGATCTAAGTATCCTTATGCACGGTTCTAAAAGCTTTCCAACATTGAAGATACGAAATAGCACAAATTAAATGTCCCTTGGGAGTTGTATCCGAGCTAGCCATAGTGTTCCGTCGTGTCTGTAAGCGCGAATCAAGGGTACCGCCGAAACGAACCTTGGATTTTGTCAGTGACTGATATCGTTCTCTTTGGGGTGGGGCCGATCAAGTTTATACTCATTAAACGCCGATACAACGATGAAGAAAGAGCAAGGGCCACTGGTAGGGACATTCCGAACATTTCAGCAAGAGGACAAGACGCATCTCTGCAACGGGCAGGAGGATTTCAGAAACTACGGGATTAACGAAGTGAGATGTATGCGCGTCTCGATGATTATACGTCGGTTGTTGTAAAGTATTACGCTGAACTTTTATATTCCTTTATAATCGCTCCATCGATCGACGCCGCGATTAATCTTCAGTTGACCCGGGGGCTGCGAAGCACTTGATCATTTCTCTGTTACTAATATATATAAATATATAAATATTGTACTCGCGAGACTTCGTCGATTAAATTTTGCCGTTCGTCACCTCGGGGTGGAGGAGGGCAGGATGATACAACGTGGTAATCGATCTTCGGTTGCCGAGCCTCCAGTTTTCTATATTCAAATGTTTCCTTTCTGGTGAACGTGCGAATACAACTATTCCACCACATTCAGACTTCGTAATAAATACTAAATACTACGTAATAAATATCCGTATATATGCCTCGACCTCGGTAGAAGATAAAAAAGTGCTTACTACAATAAGTTATATGTTATTCTAGATCTTATGCATAAGGAATAAAGCGCGTACACGGTACGACTCTCAGTCTCGTAATCAGTGAGTCCTCGAAATTGCGGCGGAAAACTTAACTTCTCGGTCTGAGGAGTCGAAGGAGTTCCCGAAATTCTTTTTGAAAGTAAATTATAGCGAGCGCCTGAAAATGTTTAACTTCGCTCGCAAGGCCAGTTTATCGCTAATGTCAAATCGAACCGTTAAATACTGCCCACTGTATCCTAAGTAATATCATAGTATCACAATGGATCGAAGCGTATAGCTTCTTTTTTTTTTCTGGCGGCGATAAACGAAGGACTATGGTCGCCGCTTTTGTCAGGGACTCGATTCTCGAATTTATACCATAAACTCTCGCATGTGAAATTTAGAGTTTAGTATAAGCTTTCCAAATGTTGACCAATGTCGCGACTTCGCAAGAATGCGAAATTCTTTTATGCGAATCTATTCGTATGCGAGAAAAATCCGTGTGAACTCGAGAATAGGGGCCCTGGATTTGTTACATTGGACGGACAGTTTCGTCCACTCGAAAGCGAGGCTCTTCTTAGACCGGCTTCCAGATCGGATTCGGGTACGATAAAGCTTTCATAAAGAGTGAGATGAGGCCCGCGAAATGTCCGGCGAATGTGACAAGATGGAACAGGTGGTGCCTTCTTATGTCAAGTAGGCTTTTGATCGGTTGACGTTTTCGGCGCCGTAACGAGACCCAAGTGTTCCCTTGGCACTTTGCCATACCTCGCACTTGGTTCGCGACGCTCGAATGCTTCCAAAATGCCGACGTTGTAATCTTCAGATCGCGTTTCCATGCATCGATCTCGGATCCGAACGTTTAACACGCTTCTCCGCCTTGGTCCCATGGCATTGTCAAAGCACGGTCTCGTCGAACTTGGAAACCGTCATGATAACTCCCCGATTCGCCGATAAGCGAATCGTCTTTGCGCATTGTCATCCAAATTTAACGTTTCCTTTCAGGTCCCTGTAGTATACGGCACTCTCGACGACTAGGGTCCTTTTACAGGACGACGAGGAGACGCCTCTATCAAGGCCGGTAGCGAGCTTGCATCGTTGGGGCTCATGGGAATCATAAAAACGCGTTGCAATTCACGGTTAATAAATAATTAGATATCATTGATGAATGTTAAATAACCTGATATCTCGAAGAGAGTCCAGAGAATCAGCTCACGGGGACCTTAACGCGTTAATATTCGCAATTATTAAATAATAACTAGTCCTAGATGTCTCAGAGAGAGTCCACGAATGCTCGCTCGTGCTCGAGTCTGCATTATTAGGTTCATGAAAATCGTAAAAACGCGTTGCGATTCACGGTTTTTAAAAAACCAGCCCTCGATATCTCGAGGAGAACCCAGAGAACCAGCTCACGGGGACCTTAACGCGTTAATATTCGCAATTATTAAATAATAACTAGTCCTAGATGTCTCAGAGAGAGTCCACGAATGCTCGCTCGTACTCGAGTCTGCACTGTTTAGGGCTCATGGGAATCGTAAAGACGCGTTGCGATTCACGGTTATTAAATAATATTAAATAATAACGAGTCCCAGATGTCTCATAGAGAGTCCACGAACGGTCGCTCGTGCTCGAGCCTCTTCCTCTCGTTGCTGGTCGCGACCTCGCAGGTGCACTTCCCGTGTTGCTCCACCCTGATCCATTGTCTTCGGGTCTTATTGTTCTCCAGGCTCCAGATCTCGATTTCGAGCTCTTCGAAGTAAGAGGCGTTCTTCACTGGCGTGCAACTCATGTCGGGACTCATGCAGCACCCCGAGTGCACGTCGCACCTCTTCAGGACGATGTACACCGGCTGGTTGGCACTCTCCCCAGGATTCTGGTGCACGGTTTGCATCAAGTCCCGCAGGTGGTAGGCCCGAGGCTGAGGTTCCTTGCAGGGGAACTTCCGGGACATTTCCACGGCCCTGGGCAGGTGGATCCTCCTGAGTCCTCGAGAGGAGGCGTTTTTCGAGCTGGACAGGACCCCGAAATTCAGGGTCACCAGGAGCACCAGTATTCGGAGCACCGCCGTCCTGGAAATCGCCTTCATTCTGACGTGAGTCTCTCCCGTAACGACGAATCACTTCTCGACTTGACACTTAATTTTCTCTCGATTTGCAGGAAACACCAGGGTCCTGAATTTCCGGGACGACCTCTTGATCGGCGAAGAGAAAATCCAGCTGCGAGAACGCGTCACTTCGTCACTTATTTTTCACTCGATTTGCAGGACATTCCTGGGACCCGGGATTGCGAGGAACGAGGAAAGGTCTCCAACCCTTTGATACCGGCGAGGAAAGAATCCGGCTGCTCGAACGTGTCGCCGAAGAATCGAGTGACCGAGACTTTCCGGCTAGCCGATGTATTTATACGTGATGGAGGTTTGCACACACGTTCCGCGTGCCGACGTACGCGGGGAACACGCATGTCGCGCTCGCGTAAAATCCGAATCTCCCGCACCCTGGAATCTTGCTCCACGGGGATTGCCGGTGGTGCAAGCTCACCTTTCCTCCAGTCAAGAGAAAATTCCCGCCAACCGCTCAAGCGTGGTGTCCTACAAGAAATCCAGCGAGAGCGTCGAATTATCGTACCGATTGTATTAATTCATAGCTGCATATCAGCGTGACCAATTTTTGTTAATGCCCACTGGGGGAGATCCAGCAAAATCGACGAGTTTACCGTACCGATTGTATTAATTCACCGCTACATATTAACGTGATCAATTTTTGTTAACACCCACGGGGTAAAATCCAGCAAAACTGACGAATCGCCGCACCGATTGTATTACCTCATCGATGCATATTAACGAGACTAATTATTGTTAATACCCATTAGGAGAGATCCAGCAAAATCGACAAGTTATCGATTGTATTAATTCATAGCCGTATATTAATGTAACCGATCTTAGTTAATGCCATCTGGGAACGATCGATTAAGATCGACGAGTTTACCGTACCGATTGTATTAATTCACCGCTGCATATTAACGTGATCAATTTTTGTTAACACCCACGGGGTAAAATCCAGCAAAACTGACGAATCGCCGCACCGATTGTATTAACTCATCGATGCATATTAACGAGACTAATTATTGGTAATACCCACTGAGTAAGGTCCATAAAAATCGACGAGTTAAAGTGCCGACTGTATTAATTCATAGCTGTATATTAATGGAACCGAACTTAGTGAATACCCACTGGGCGATTTTATATATCAATGGCATTAATTCATTGCTGCATATTAAGGTGAAGTGAAACACGTCGAGGAACTTGGTCAACGTCGATAAAGAAGACTTTTCTAAACGTCTACGTTGTCGACATTCGTTTTTATATTGACAGCTGTGTCGAATTATATTGGATATTGTACCAAATGGCGTACACCATATGTCGTTTCCGTACAATAATTATACAGAAATCAAAGTAAAACTCCAGAAATCCTCTAGATTCATGCTTTCTGGGGCCCTAATTGACTGCAGAGGGACCCGCTGCGCCATCTGTGATTTCCAGGTCAATTAAGTATTCACTCCGAGACCTCGTATTGCCATCGTTTTGGCATACAAGCGCATACAACACTTTTTTGCCTTTATTCCGTTCAAATACGTTTATCGATTACCACAGTGTTCTAAATTGTCGTAAAATTGTCCTGACCCTTTCGATTCTCATATCAGAGCCTTCGATAATTGTATATTGATCGAAATATGAGAGCTCATCGCCATTTTGGTCCTGATCTAGGCTGAGTCAAACAATTTTGTTGAAAAATCCAAATTTTGAATGTGTCAGGACAATTCTTAGATGATCAGGAGTGATGTGTCAAAGTTTCGGACAGTTTGGTTTAATACCCTTAAAAAAAAGTGTTGTATTCAAATCGAGTGGTTTGAAGGGTGTTTCACTTCACCTTAATGCAACCGATCTCAGTTAATATCCAATGGGCGATTCGCAGGTGGGCAAGCGAGGAACCACGCCAAGAGTGTCAAAATCGTGAGGAAGGAACGACACTGGCGACCTGTCCCGTATTTTATAACGCTTTAATAACGGAGATTATGTCGTTAACTCACCGAAGATCAATTGGAGCAAGACTCCGCGATTAGTAATTGTCGGCAGATACAAGGGGAATGACGGAGAGGCCAGCGAAAAGTTGACTTATCGTTTGTCGGTTCCTATTGATAACGTGCCCCCTCTCTCCCTCTCTGTACTCGAATCGGATCATCTTCGCTAGAGTTCGAGGAATAAAATATTCCGATATGGAACGACCGGTTGCCCCGATCCTCGGAAAAGCTTCACCTTGGCATTGCGACGCTCTCGTTTAAAAGAGGCGGATCCGCGCGTGGGGGTGATATTTTTGGATAACCTGTGGTCCTCTTTTCAGGAATGTTTATATTTCTTTTACTCGATATCCTCGAGGTGTTAGAAAGTCACCGAGAGGACCTCGCTCTCTCAGGTGATTCGATCATGTCTGGGTAGTTGAACCCCCCATGATATTCTGCGGCTGCAGGTTGATTCACGGGATGAATCACCTGTCCGCGGAATAACCAGAATCTCACGTATCAGTCCCCAGATGTTAAACCGTCAGGTGATTCTAATTTCGAGCCAGTCGAATATCGTCATATTTTATGAAATTTATTTGCAATATCCGTTTGGAATGTTCCTCGCGTCGATAAGAGCTCGCGAGCGTTGCTTCCTCTTCATTACGTTTATTTTTCCAAATTTCAACGCCTTCTAGAACGAAGCCGTAGAATATCGCCGCATTTGATCAAATTTATTTGCCACATCTGTTAAGAACGTTCCTTACATCGATAAGAGCTTGGAAGTGTTGGCTCTTGTTTATTACGTTTCTTTTTCCAAATTTCAACGCCTTCTAGAACGAAGCAGTAGAATATCGCCACATTTGATCAAATTTATTTGCCATATGTGTTAAGAACGTTCCTTGCGTCGATAAGAGCTTGGGAGTGTTGGCTCCTCTTTATTACGTTTGTTTTTCCAAATTTCAACGCCTTCTAGAACAAAGCAGTAGAATATCGCCACATTTGATCAAATTTATTTGCCATATGTGTTAAGAACGTTCTTTGCGTCGATAAGAGCTTGGGAGTGTTGGCTTCTCTTTATTACGTTTATTTTTCTAAAATTCAACGCCTAGAACCATTCTTCTATGACGAGCCAGTCGAATATCGTTATATTTTATCAAATTAATTTGCAATATCTGTTTAGAACGTTTCTCGCGTTGATAAAAGCTCCACCAGGAATGTTGGCTTCTTATCACATTTATTTTTCCAAGATTCAACGCATTAACTGTCCTAAGACGAGCCATCGAAAGACTTAGAAGGTTCAAGAACCAAAGGGTGGAGGAACTCGGTTCGCTCGTTACTTGCCTCGAAGAGGTTCGCGGAACCCTTCGACGACGGAGTCCATTTAAATCAATTTCAGGCTCGAGTAATCCAGGTGTGAAAGGCCTTCTTCTCCGGAAGAAAGAAGCCAAAGTCGTTCTAGCTCGGTCGCTCGGTCGTCAATTCTTCCGCAAGACTCGAGCTGTGCGGCCAATCCGCCCCAGAGTCCACTGACTCCTGGTGAAATCATTTTTTAAACGGATTCTCCTCGACGCCATGACCTTTTCCCAGATGATTTTCGTACACTTTCGTTTTCCTTGCTAGTGAAATTAATTTTCTATGTCTCCAAAACTTGTGACGTTCTTCTCTAGGATGACTAACAATGTTTTCCAATTTTTTTTCCTACAGTCTGCGTTCGTTAATTGCAATTTTCCCTCCTAGGAAAACGCATCAGTTCACTGACTCCTGGTGAAACTATTTTTTAAACGGATTCTCCTCGACGTCATAACCCTTTCCCAGGTGATTTTCGTACGCTTTCGTTTGCCCTGCTCGTGAAATTAATTTTCTGTGCGTCCAAAACTTGTCACGTCCTTCTCTAGGCTGACTAATAATGCATTCCAATTTTTTTTCCTGCAGCCTACGTCCGTTAATTGCAATTTTCCTTCCTAGGAAAACGCATTGAGTTCACGTTACGAGGATCCTCCGCAATTATTCCCGAATGTCCCTTCTGCAATGGTTGTTTAAATACTTCCTGCTCCTGACGTAGATATCGTTCCTGGGAAGTTTTGTGAATGGGTTTGCGAGGTCTATTCATATCCTCTGCATGGCGGAATGAACGTACGTCAGCTCTATTACGGATATTTAAATCATCGCTCGAACATTCCCTCGGTAATTCGGAATCGCAACTCGTATTACGGTCAATCCGGTGTCTTCGGGTCGTACGGGAAAACGGTGAATGATACCAGTGACGTGGCCGGGAGGAATATCGCATCTTTCCTGGAGATACCCAGGCCAAGTACATCGCTCCGTGCATTCGTATTAATATGACGATGACAATTAATTCATATCGACGAGAGGCGATTAAAAAATCGCCCCCTAATCGGCTAAGTTAATGAAAACTGCCCCTTAAGGTGATATGAAAGTGTGATATATACGTAACAAAAAGTCAAAATATTTATAAAACTTTTCTCCAAACTGGGTGCACCGAATTATTTGAAATTTTAACACGTGATTATGGAGGCCCTAAGGAATAACGCGCTGCTCATGACATTACTTTTTTCGACAACAAATTTTGTACTTATCTCGGACAAGTACCAAAAAAAGGTATTTTTTTCCGAGAAATGAAATTTCACGGGCAGCGCGTTCTTTGTTAGAGCCTCCATAATCACGTGTCAAAGTTTTAGATAATTTGGTGCATCTAGTTTGGAGAAAAGTATTATAAATATTTTACGTTTTGGTATGTATATGTCATACTTTCATATCACCTTAAGGGGATGTGAAAGTGGTATATACGAAGTACCAATCGTTCATGAAACTTTTCTCCGAACTGGGTGTGCCGAATCGTTTCAAACTTTACAATGTGAATATAAAGGCTGTGAGAAAGGTCCTGACAATTATGAAATTTAATTTTGTATAACAAATTTTAACAATATCTATGAACAAGTTTAAAAAAAATTGGAATTCCATGAATCTCAGGATCTTCCTTGTACTCTCCATATTTATATTGTATAGTTTGAATCGATTCGTCACACTCAGTTTAAAGAAAAGTTTTATGAACGAGACCTTTTTGACGCCACTTTCACATCACTTTAAGGCGATATCAAAGCAGCGAGGAGTCGTTCATAAAACTTTTCTCCGAGCTGGGTGCGTCGAATCGTTTGAAAATTTTCCAGATGAATATTCCGACGCACTCATGAAATTTCAATTTTTTTAATGGAAAATTAACAAAACGTTTATAAGAAAATTCGGAAAAGGTGAAATTTTACAAGGACCCACATTTACGTGATCCAATTCACTAGCCTCAATATTTGCGTAATAAAATTCACAAGCTTATATTTACATAAAATTCACGAGCCTCTATATTTACGCGATAAGGTTTCAAACGTTTCGGTAGCAATATTTCAGAAAAAAAAGTTTCATGAGGAAGTGACCCCTTAGATGGTACTTTCGTATCGTCTTAAAAATGTGCATTGTCTTAGAACGGGTACAATGTATATTTAGTCTCGCGAGTATCACGTGCTCTGCAGTATGCACCGGTACATGCACAAGAGTAACGAGAAGCAGACGCAGGAATCGTCAGATAAGCCGATCCGGTGTACCGTTTCGTTAGGAGTAGTTCGAGCTCCTATTCCCCGAAAAGCCGGAATGTCGAATAAACTCGGCTCGAAAGTGCTCGCAAGACCTCGGAACTGCGGTTACGCGGATCTGTAACCTTACGCGATGAGTCAGGTCGAAATGAATTGGCAAAAAGAACCGGGTCTCGATGACGATCCGCCATCGATTCGGCAATCCGCTCTCACCTTCGAGAACTCCGGGAACGGATTCGACTTGGCTGACGCAAAAGTCCTCCGTAGAAAAGCAATGCACTTGACCGTAAACCAGCTCTCCAAGTGAAAGCTCATCTCTGCAAACGAAAGGTCTTTCGATAACGAGAAATAATCGTGTAGTCATATAATTAAGCGGAGTTACGGTTAATGCTTTATGAAATAAAAATGTATCGGTAGGTCTCCGGTATGGATGAGAGTTGAACTTGCGCTGTTCCTGCTCATCCCGAGGGGATTTTCACTCAGGAAATTATGGATTTCAACCCCATCACGTACAAATTAACTCTGCAAAATCCAGGGCAAAGTGATCCACGATAAATGTTCAAAAAACGAGCCGAAATGGTAATGAAAGACGCTCGCAAAACAGAGGACTTTCTTTTCTCTCGCGAGTCTGACTAGTAATGTTCGTATTCGGCCCAAAATTTGTATCACGTTCAGACACGTCAAAGTGCGGCAAGAGAGTTAATGCTTGAAATCATCTGGAAATCATGAGGAAATCATTGGAAATCGTTGGAAAACACCAATGAATTTTAAGGCCGAACGTCACTCGTTACCGAATCGCATTGTTTATCACATGAAATCAAAGGAAATCGTTTTCCCTGATTTCCAAGCGAATAGCCCCTCGGTCCATCCTGAAGAGGAAGGCGAAGAAAAAGAGGGAAAGCTCTAGTTGAGGGGAAAATGCCGAAAAAGCTGGAAAGTCTCCTGGAAGCGTCAGCAAGGAAGGCCAGGACGAGCCCCTGGTCACGCGACCAGAGGTGCCTCTCGAACGGGAGATAGGACCACTAGTTGTAATTATAGTTATCTTCGCGATGTTCCAGGAACGGTTTGTTCGACCCCTCCTCGAGCTTACCGAGAATCCGAGAGGGAGAGAGAAGGAGAAAGGCCGTTCGTTGAGTCTTGCGAGGAGTTCGAGCAAGACGGAGAGCCGCTTCGAGAGGGGAGCGTGGGCTGAGGATGAAAATTATATATATGTATATACATATATATAAAGAATTCTGATCCGAGAAGACAGAAGTCTTCGGCTGGACTCCGGAGAACCGCGAACATCGACCTGACGGAGCGGCCGCGTGTGTGCCCCGAACTCGCGGGTGAAAACCGCGCAGCGGCTGCGGAAGGCGAGGGAAAAGTGAGGAAAACCTTGGAAAGAGAGAGGGTCACCGACTCGTCAGGATGACGAAGACCGTGTTCGTCCTCCTCGTCGCCTGGGGACTCTTCTGCCTCGCGACCTGTCGACACCACAGGTGAGAGGGAGATCAGACAATCAGGTATTTCCTGTACCGGATATAATCGGAAGTGGACTCCAGAGTTTTGGGAACTACCGCGGATAGGTCAGTCAAAGTAGGCTTCTTTCTTCGTCGACTCTCCGTTAGTACTTTCCTTCTTATTAGTTCTTTTTCTTCGAGAGTCGTTAAAGCGACTCTTTGCAAGGATAAGTGATGTAAGCTCGTTAACGACGCGTTTCCAGAAGCACCGGCGTCATGGAAAATGCTCGGCTTGAAAGTGTCATTCGTAGTTCTTTCGTTGAAATGTTTAAAACCGTTTCGTTCATCATTTTGCATCTTTTTATGGATCTGGTGAGCCGCCTCTTGTTTCCAGTTTCGCTGTATCTTAGATACTGGAAGTATCGTTGATAGAATTGTCTGATATCTCTAAATACTCCGCAGGGACAGCAGTTTCCTAAACCACGTGCAACTGGTGCACCAGTTCCGATGTTCCTTGCCCCAGCCTCGGGCAGTTCCCGTAGGAGAGCTCCTCTCGGTCGGCCCTGCCCCAGATGAGGTGTTTTATCCTGCGTACACGGTCCTCGCCCGCTGCGGAGGGTCCGGATGCTGTCCAGATTCCAACCAAGTGTGCGCACCTACGGAGACCAGGAACGTCAGCTTGGTATTCGTCGTTAGACACACGATAGATCTCCAGCGAGACCGGCACCACGAGGTGGTGCACGCCCAGGAACACACGAAATGTGCATGTACCGATGAGAGGCTAGCGAGTACTCTGTGAACTTGAAAATTTCAACTTGTGAAATTGTCGCGATTACTACCCTATTTGTAGAATTTCTTCCTGGCCTATCAAGTACATAAACAATCTCTAGTGAATGTTTCACGAAGCAGTTCTACTTGATGTACATATCTCGTGACTAATATAGTCTTAAATATACGTGATAACATGTATGCATAAATGAAGAGCAGTCTGAATTTGACATTCAATACTCGTGAAGGATTGGAATTCCGAGTCTGGCGTGCCTCTCGGTGTGCGGTGTCTCTCAACCGAGGAACATAAAGAGTTGAAGAAACTCCAGGCTTCACTCCTTTATGTCAAAGTACTGCTTGGCAGCCAGAAGATCGCGTTTGATGGTCTCGTTGTCAGGAGCCAATTTGAGGGCGGCTTCTAGTTCGGGAATGCCGTGCTGCGGTGCAGATAATTTGCAGAGTGCTGCGCCTCTTCGAGCGTGACACCTTGCTCTGGATTCTCGGTTTCCCTCGCATTGGGGTACCATCAATTCCAGGGCCTGTTCTCAAAACGTCCAGCGGGATGAGAGTTTTGCAGGTTTGCGAGGCGTAGCGTTAAAGGATTTACGAGGGAATATTTTTTTTTTTCAATTAAAATGCCGCACCACCCAGAAAGTGAAATGTAACGATGCACACCGAATGCACGTGCGAGGTACGAAGGATATCGAACGGCTCATGATTTGTTACGTTAGATTTCCCCCTTGCTGGGTTTATTCGCGTAATTACCGGTATTCCTTCCTTTTTACCTTGGAGCAGTCCTCGGTGCATCTGTAATAATTCCCAATTGCATAATGAGCAGCGGATCGGTTCACGTAGAGGGACGCCATCTTGTCGCTCAGTTTTATCCCATGCGAGTAGGCGCTGACAGCTCCGAGATAATTGCCAGCTTTGAAGAATTCGCTGAAACATTTTTAACGCACAATCGAGATTTCATTCCAGGAATTTTAGCGATATCCGAGTTGAGAATTTAATTTACACTTACTCGCCCTTGTCTTTGAGCCATTGCGGATCTTGCTCTTCGGGTCTCAAGTTTTCCGCCACGAAGCCCACTTTCCGCCTCGCTTCCGCTTGCTTTTCCAACCACTATAATATAAAAGGAAACTAGAAGCATGTTTCTTTATATTAAAAAAATGTCCGCGTTTCTTATTTTCAAACCTCTTGTTCCTCTACGTGACTGCTTTCCCGAGCAGGGGTCGGAAAAGAACGCTCGGTAAACGTGACGTTGATGGTTCCGCTGGTTCTAGGGCGAGGAACTGAATTCTGTGGTTCGTCAAAAATATTGTTAACCTTCTTACACCTCCCAACTTCGGTTAAACATGTATTCTCGACTCCTTGCTCTCTAGTTTTGATGTCTCGCCTCTGCTTTTGCTCGTGAAATTTCCGCATAGAGTCCTTTATCACAGTTTCCGGAGACGCGTAGCCATTCGTGGGGTTCTCTTTGGAGTCGGCATTTTCTGAGGAGCTCGCAGGTCGATTACGTTCAGAATGCTCTTCTCTTCGGGTTTCTTTGTATTCCTCTTCGTCTCGAACTTCCGTAATTTGGGCCCTTTTGGGTTCTCTTGATTCTCCTTCGAGCTGCTTGTCGCTAAATATCTCCGCTTTGGCCTTCTCCCACTTGATCATGTTCTTACCCAGAGTGTTATTATCTGGTTTTGGGACTGGGGCCATATCGTCGGTCGCCGGTTCACTGGTAACCGCACCAAACTCGTCCTTAAACCATTTCAGGGGCGGCCTTGTAAGAAGATCGTTCTTTTAAAATGATACCCCAACTTCCGAGTGGTCGCAGTAACGAATACAACTCCCGACTAAATTACGGGTTACGGGCGTTTATTTGGGAATGTTTGAGGTACCGCTACCGAAACGCACCTTCGCAAAGTAAGCACTGCTCCGAGGGCTCTTTCCCACGTATTTTTCTCAAGATGAATGCCTTGACAGAGAGCCCCGCATTCTTCTCTAATTTACTTGAAAAAGACGCGAGAGCAACTGTAGCGCATATATATTCTCAAATAAATGCGCGTACCTCAGCTAGGCACTACTATTGAATAATTACATATAAGAAATAAATTTCCAGAAGACACCTGGAAATTACCTATAGGCTTTGTTGTTCCGTTGCAGCGCGCCCTGTAAATGTTGAAAAATCGGCGCCTCGTGTTCGGACTTCCAGTCGTCGAACTCCTGCATAGCTTCCTTCCTGTGCGCATCGCGCATCCTTTCAATTTTATTCAAAACTTTCGTGTCCAGATCGATCTGCGCCCTCACGGCGTCCTTCTGGAGCTTATTGCGTTTCTCTACAGCGAAAAATACAGAATTGTCGAGACGTGTATTATTAAAAATCAGTAAAAATAAGTAACAAACCGCTCCTGGCCTTCGCTCGTTCCCCCATCGACAATCGCGCCCGTTCCTGCGCCTGATTTCGGCATTCCTTCTGATTTTCTTTGGACAGGTTTTCCTTGACCAGAGTGGGCCATTCTTCTCCGGCATTCTCCTTTTTAAGGGAAAAGATTGCCTCCTCGCCATCCAAGGTGCACTCGCTTCGGTCGTCCAGGATATTCCCCCACAGGAAGAGCTCCAGAATGAACGGCGGATAGCTGGCCTGGTCGACAAAAATCATTTCGTCAACTGAATAAATTAAAGCGATACAAATGCAGTCTTAAAATCAGATAATCAATTCCAGGATGAGTGCTTACTTTCATATAATCGTCAATGACGAATAAATCGACTTTCTTCGGGTGTCCCGACAAGGGCACGTAGATTATTACGCTCTCAGCGGTTTGCCTCCACGCGTAATCTTTCACAACTATAACAGGCATCTTTTATAAATAATCCCACCGTGGGATCTCTAAGATAGGACATGCACAATGGTCCTGGTAAAATTAAAGTTAATTGAAATGGGCGTATGAAAGCGTAGAGGTTATTTTGAAGTCTGACGATCTCGTTGGCAAGCATTGATCAAACTTGCGCGTCGCGGCCATTGTCGCCGTTTCTACGGTTTCGATTAAGACACATTTTGCAGGAACAATGAATCACTCCCAACGCAGATAACGTACGAATTGCTTTTAATTAAAATGTCCAAGAGCATTCGTAATGACAATGGTTTGTTGATATATTAAAAAGCTGCCGTATAACCGCGCATCAACGGACCCCGTTGAGGCGCCTCGGTTGAATGTCAACTTCCGAGGAGGAGGTACATTCGGATGAATTAAAGTACGGTTAATTAATTAATTAAAAAAGAAAACGCAGGACATTACGTCACATCTTGCGCCTGTGCCTCGCTTTATCAGCGTTTCGGACGTGCGGCTATCGACGGCGAGACAAAACGTCGGAGTCTTCCGTTAAGAACCGCCTAGAAAAGAGAGATAAAAACCTATCGTAAAGATCAGTCGGGAACTGTTAAACGTCTGCTTTTATGGCTATCCCAAAATCGCGCCTCCGTTTCCTCATTCAAGTCGATCGGACGTGACCGAAAGGCTTCCTAGTACGTACAAATTTTAAAAATACACATTCAATCGCTCGCAAAAAGCTCTGGTAAAAAGAAGCAATAAGAATCGACCCTTGTTTCATTCCTCAAGGTTCCCGGGTCCCTTTCGAATATTTCATTCCCCAATCTTCAGTCCATATTTCGTCGTGTATTTAACGCAAGCGATTTCGTAAAGCACTCAACTCTTAAGAAACAATGGTACGCCGTACTGTTGTACAAAACTGGAGGACATTGATAAACATTCGAGATTATCCAGGTAAACTGTATACACTATGAATTATTATGACACTACTGTTACGGTCGGTCCGCCGATTTTACGTGATAATAATTACCGCTAACGTCGATATTATCATTAAATATATATTGTATATACAAAGTGCGTCCCCCAGCCGTTGGTGTTTCGTTTATACGGTTGGTCTTTCGACGTACATACGAGCCGACGCGAGTCCTCCCAACCGGGTAAGCAAAACACCTTGTAATGGGCCATAAAACTTACGGACTATCATAAATAAGTACACGCACGGTTAACGTACGTCCGTCTACTACCGGTTACGGTGCAACGAGGCGAGGCGCGTTATCGATACGAATAAAATGTATGGAATACGTGTCCCCGACTCGTTGGTGGTATTTAACACAGAGAAAGTTCGATACACATATCCGCGCGACACTCACGCATTTATCGATGGTACAACGGAAGTCGAAGAGGTAATTTCACTTGTAAACACCTTGTGGGCGACGTCATCGATGATCGGTTCGCGTGGAATGTCTAAGATGAAAGCTAGAAAGGATTACGAGAGCGAAGGCGACGAGGAAAGAGAGAAAACCCGCGGAAAGACGAGCGAATGCGTGAGTTACTCGACGGACGGAGTGTACATTTACGAATTTAATTCCCTTCCTCGAATCTCTAGGAGTGATACCCAAGTATGCTAAGAATTCATTGATGCAGTCGTTGATATGAGACGTCTTGAGCAAAATCCGAGATAAAAAAAAGAAAAGAAAGACAACCAACGTGGGAAAAATAAGCCCTTCCCGTGTCTACGCTCGAGACCACTGTTACATACACACTTTACTGAGTTAACTAAACGAAATTCGTTGACAATTCACGAAATACGGTAGACAGCCACTGTCTCTAGCAATAATTTGCTACAATCTTAGATTATAATCGTGTACGAGTTATATCCATACGATTCGTCCAAACGTTAGAAATAAATAAAGCGAGAACGCAATAATGAACGGCAACGGGATACTTGTTGCCTCCCAACTCAGATACGTTACATGTAGGTACGATTGTGAGATAATTAATTAGGGACACTCTAATCTCGTTACAATTTCGTCAATGTAGCTCGACCGTGTGTGGCATACACACCCTCGCATGCATACCCGTTCTCCACATATTCCATAATCATGCACACGTGACACTTCACATAATCGCTCGAATGGCTGATCATTGAATGTCATTATTACTCGTCAGCAGGAATGGCAATTATAACGATTACGGCGATGACGATAACAATAGTAATAGTATACTAATCGATTGTAAATTATAATAAAGAATACAAAAATATGAAAATAACAATATCCCTCTTAACTTTCACGCCTTGACAGAAGCGTACGAAATTAGCTTCGAACTTTGCGTCAACATTGCGTGATGACCGAGCGAAAACGAGATAATGAACTTCGGGTGGACTAAATGAACTTAACTGTCCAATTGAATACTCTGTCAAGTGAACAGCGATGTTTATACGCATCTGCGCGTCCAACATAGAAGTACGCTAAAAAAAAAAGGCAATGTGACAAACGGTACGCAACTGCGTGTAAAATTGAAAATTTCCTAGATTGATCTCGCTCAGTACCAAACTGAGGTAATTCATGACTTCGCTCTCCGTACATATAGTAATCGCCGAACTGTCCTGGCTATTCAAATCATTTTTTCCGTGCCGCTTTCTCCGCTTTTCGCCGCATACGTTCTATTTCCTTCCGCTCCTTGCGCTCTCGGTCGGCTTGGGCCCGCAGTTCCTTTAATTTACGTTTAAGATGAGCTTTCTCTTCGTCGAAAATGCCGAGAGCTTTCAGATCACGAGATTCCAATCGTAAAAGACTTCCCCCGCTAATGCCAGCTTCAAGGAAACGCGATGCATACCGCTCCAAACCCACTCCCGACAGCCATTGACAAACCTGACACATTCAATTGAATTATTAAACATATACGCCGGTAGAACCAAAACGTACTTTCCCGATAATACTCACTTGCTCTTTGGACCAGTCGGTGATGGGAGTATTTTGCCAAAAGTGAGACTTCTTATCACCCAGACCGAAGTCACTTGGATGAGGCGGCAGCCAGACTTCACTGGAATCTGCAGACATCGATTATACTTTTAAATAAAAATTGCAACATCTAGAGTTTAGAATATTCAAGAGATTTTTTTTTTTTAATGCATACCTGCACTACTAGTTTTAGATGGACTAGGTTCGGCAGCTGTAGGACTCACAGAACCACCCGACGATAAGCTCGACGGTGAGCCACCAGGGTGATGCCATGGTGTACTTCCACTTCCGATTAAATTCGGCGTGGGAACTGCTACTTTTTTCACTGGGAAGATAATATAAAATAACAAAATATTGTACACATTTACAATTGGAGCATGCTGAACGGCAACAACGACTTCGTCATCTCTAATACCTCTTTGATTCGCCTCGCTCACAGCTTGTCTAATTTCTTCAACTAAATGGTGCGTGACTAGGGTTGGATCGTTATTGTGCGGATTGTTTAAGTCACTGAAGTCTCCTGAACTTTCTCTCGACGAGGACAGGTCGTTTCCTCCAAGTCGTCTCTCCCTCTCGGCCAGAACCTGCTTCAGTTGTTCGGCCAACGAAGCGGGAGGACCTGATAACCCTGAAGAATGATAATAATTCAATAAAGAAAAATACAGAAATATATTCAAAATATTATTTAAGGTGTGTAAGGATAGGGCGGCATACACCAATCTCAGGAAAATAATCATACCTTTCTGAGAAGGCGGCCAACTTTGTTCCGTCATAGCTCTGACTTGTGAACTTATTGTACTGTGTTGTCGAATCATCGTAGAATGCGTGGACTCGAAGTGCTTGCTCTTCTGCGAGCAAATCGAGGAACTGCTGGAATAGGAACTCAAGTTTGATTGTTTCGAGGTTGAATCCGTGATCGAACGTGTGCTCGTCTCGTGGGAGACGAGTTTCGACGATGAATCCTCGTCGGTGTTGTCACCTGACTCGTCTAAACCGTAATCCTGCAGATCAATTTTTACGTCATTAATCGGTCATTTAATTCGTCTTTTACGCATTACGTTCCTTTAAGGAAACTCGGTAGAGTTTCGCGCCACATACACTTAATGGCATGCGCGAGCGGCGCCGAATATTTGACGCCAAAGTTCGGCACTTGAATTCGAGAAATATTTATTTCTCAAATAAATAGAGACTATCATACATACCGAACTACTATTGCTGAGGCCCCCCGATCTCTTCGGGAGCTGCCGATTGGCGAGTCCTCCTCTGCTTGCGAGTTCAGCTTTACTTTTCCCGGCTGTATTGTCCAAGAGACGATGAGCAGGTACGGCGCGGTCCAGCTCCTCTTTAACCGGCAACGGCAGTGGTAGTTTCCTTTCTACGGTGGCAGTCTTGTCTCCATCATCCGGACTACTGAGATCTGACGTCTCGGTGTCCGAGAGTTGACAGCTGTTAGATGACGGCGGAGGTGGAAATTGACGACGAGAGAGTTGCGGCGTCATAATCCTAGCGGTCGCCCCATCATACGGTAATCGTACCGGTAATCCGAACTCCCTTTGCGTCTGAGTCAATGTCAGTTCCAAGAGGATTACCTGGCAACGAAGATGGATAACTATTAGTTCCAACTACTGTAGCATTGATACCCTTGATCCCATTTACAGATACATCGAGGATGTGAAATAACAGCAAATAACGCATGCATCGGACATGGAAAACACCATACGAGGTCTACGGGACTAAGTGGAGACTCGGACATCGGATTGATATATTACATGGTAAATTGTTAACAGACTGTTCGACGTGTTAGCGCGCCATCGGCGTTAGGTTTGTATTTCACTTCCCAGCCGATGGGATGATCCACATACCCTGTCTTTCAGACTCTTGACAAGCGCGTTATACTCCGTATCCTTCTCTTGAAGAAGTTGTTGGTAAAACTCATCTCTCGCCGCAACATCTGTCCGCAGTTCCCTAGCGGTTCTCCTGGCACGAGCATACTTTTGCTGAAGAGCCGCACTTTGAGCAGTCGCTTGAGCGAGCATTTCTCGAGCCGCCGCCAAATCTTGACGAGCCGTGCTCAAAGCTCTCTCGGACTCGTGAAGCCGAAGACCGGACTCCCGCAATTTGGCCGCGTACTCTTCGCTGCCGGCGCCGCTGTTTTCCAGTTCTACAAGCTAAAAAGACCAAGCACGTCTAGAATGTATTCCTCGAGGATTTAGGTATCGAGAGCCAACAAGCTGCGAAAGCGATTACACAGAGAAATGCGCCCTTGAGTCTAACGGAAGAAACAGAAAGGCTTACGGGTTTACGTCGTGACCATCTCGACGATAGACCGCACGTGAGGCACACCAACGAGAAGGAAGTCGATAAAACAGCTAAGGGTGTGACACAAGTTCTATTCTACTGATTTCCATACGACTATTTACAAAGCACGAGTAAGTTGAGGAAGAAAAAGTAGTCCAAAGGAAACTCCATACGATAGGCTTGCGAAGGGTGCGATTGTACAGTGGGATTATATACGGTAGTAATTTCAGTATGCATTTACCTTCGCCTTGAGCTTTTCCACTTCTCCATCGGCTAGTGCGAGCTTATACTGACTCTGCAAGCAGCCAACGATACACGCAACACATAAGCAAAAAACCCGAGAATATATAACTTTACCGAAGGTCTCTAAGTTAACGTCTTCCACGTCTGCTACCAATATGCATCGGATCAGTATCGAAAACATATACACAGGGGATGAACATTTCTCTCGACTACACGACCGACAAGGACGTTCGAAATTTTATATACAAGAACTATAAAAGGTGATATAAGAAAAAATGATACATCGAACTATAAATACAGCGTGTGCAACGAATAATCAACAAGCGTTTCTGGCATTTCCGGGATTGGTGCAAGTAGAACCTTCGTCTACGTTGGGCGTATCTAATTGTTTATAAATACAAAAGAGAGGGTATCTAGAATCAAAGTACTTTCGAAGCTTTCGATAACGACCGCAGGACAAGACTTATCGGAACGGTGACGATTAGGCCGCGATAATTTAAAAAAAAGCCTCGAAAGTTCGATGGTTGCTTCTTATGTTTAATAGAGAAAAGTGCTAAATACCTCCTGCAAGAGCATTCTTAAGCTGTCAACGTCACTTTGCGTCGTTGGCGAAGCATGCGTTGGTAAGGAGGAACTGATAATCGGAGATCGGCTTCTGTTAGTGGGGGACAAATAAGTATCGATAGGACTTTGAGGAGGTTCTCCTTCCGAGCAGGAGGACATCGTCGGGGATCCAGGAATCCCTCCGGTGCCTACACCACTCCCTACTGAACTGTCCTCGCCTCCTCGTTGTCCGTCAGGTGAGACCGTGTCGGAGAAATTCAATCTTCTACAAACATAAAACGAAGCGTGCTAAAATAATTATTATACCTAAAAGATAAAAGTAACGTATGTTATGTCGCAGTATTCCCTCAGAACCCCAGGAGGCCTCAGGCCTGCCCCAGAGTGGCCGTGTTATCGTCAACGAAATTTAGCGAGCAAGGATAAACCATCATTGGGAACTCGACGATAAATTAATTTATGGATTTGCTGATGTTTAAACGTACCTGTTGGCACTAGTGGCCTGCTCCCGTTCCTTGTCGGCTTGCAAGCTTTGCCGAATCAACATTGCAACCTCGGAGTTCCTCGGGTCACGTTCTCTGCCGATTAAAAAGCGCACCAGACCGGAAGTATTTCGAAGGACACTGGCTGCATATGCCTGGGTTACGCCAACTAATGATTTCCCATCGACTTCTACGATCTGGTCGTTCACTTGTATCCTCCCCTCGCGCGCAGCTGCTCCTTTCTCCGTTATCGTTTTGACAAAAATCCCGAGTTTCTCGAGGCCCGCGTCTGCTCCAACTCCCATTCCTATTATGCTGAGTCCCAGACCTTCTGGCCCCTTCATCAATTCAACGGGGAATACCTAGCAAACATATTAAACAATTATCACCCTCCTGCTGAATGAACCGGTTAGACAAATAATTTCCATACCTCCATCTTCTCCACCCGCTTTTCAAGTTCATACTCTGCGCTCGCGGCGACAGGATCAACGTCTTCGTTTCGACGATCGTACTCGTTAACGGAATGCGTTGAATAAACTCGCATGGGTCCTGTGTCGAATGAAACCTTGGAAGTCTTCTTGACGGGAACCTGGACCGGCAGTGGTTCCTCCTCGTCCTCGGATTCGGGAATGCCTGCGACCTCCATCCAGAAATGGCCATCTTCAAAGTAGTGGACTCCGTTCTCCACTAAAACCTGAATACAATATTTTCTTCACCTGCCATTTAAATCTATGAACAGGTAAAATTGAAGATCTAACGACTAGATGAAGGAATTACAATTTTTCCAGGAACAGGCGTGTAGTCGTCCTGCTGTTCGGTTTCGGTATCTTCGTTAGCTTCCTGGGTGTCATTCAGGCTACTGACGGATCCGAGGAGTCCGCTCTCACTACCTGTTACAGATCCAACTTGACTCTCCGTCAAGGAATCAATGGTCAGGTCGCTGCGAGATCTGTGGGACAGACTGAAAATTACCAAGTTTAACTAGGCCTCATTCCTCGAGGTATGGATAACATCTCGATAGAATGAATTGACTTGATTTACTTGGACACCCGTGATGATCCTTGAACATTTGCATCGCCATCGAACGAGCAATGGTGAAAATGATAAGCACATGCCATGAGATAAGGATCGAAAAGAACGAAACCAAGCAAGTCACCTGTAGTCCTGGGTGATACTATTAATCAGGCTGGTGTCTGGAGCAGAGAGAACGTCGGAAAGCCAGTCAGGGGTATTGTCCAGTTCCTCTCTATCCTTTTCTTTATCCGCATCCTTATTTTTATCGCTAGTTTTCTCTTCGGCAACCAGTCCAACGGTGGTTGTGGGTGATAAGAGCCTCGCTATTTCTTGAGCCTCTTCATCGGAGAGCAGAGCCGACCCTTGTCTGGTTGACCATTTTTGACGATTTACTTTGGATCCTTGCGGCTCGTCACAATGTGTCGAAAGCAAGACTTAATACGACAGTACTCACCTAATCTTCTTCTCCAATATACTGCAGAGACCGGTCCAACATTGCAGTTCATTCACAGGTGCAAATTTAATCGAAATAAAAACCACATTAGAACGGAAAATGAATGTAAAGCTGCAAACGGACTCGGCATTTTCTATTCTGGGGAGGGAAAAAGTCGTGCTAGTACAGAGCACTAGCCACGAGTACTCTCACTTTGTGCACGGAATTACCCATTGAAAGGACTCAAAGCAAGAAACCATCGAATAAAAAATTTAAAAAACATGAAAATGCTTCACCACATTTTGCATTGAATATAATCGATTACCTGCAAAGTGTTTGGCACTTGGAGATTTTTTTATAATCAAGCACTTTGACCGATCGTATAAGTAACACTTAATCGGTTGCAGGTGTCGAGTGAAGGCGATACCTTTTCTCAGGTGGTTTTCCCGAACTCAAGCCGACGCGACAGCAGCCGATCGAGTGTTTTAAGACACCAAGAGGTTTGTAAACAAGAAGTACAATTAGAGATTAAAGATTTACCGAGAGCTCAATAGGTTCTCCGCCTCGTCTGCGGTCATGGTGTCCGGTGTGACCGGAATCAGCTGTCTCCCCATCCGCTTTGGAGGTGTTTCTTGTTGCCCATTCTGATTTTCCACAGACGTTAGGCTTTCCAAATTCGTAATTGTTTTGGCATCGCTAGAATCGCTATCCTCCACGACGCTGTTCTCGGTTTCCTTCGGTTCCTCCTTCGAGTCGCTTTCCTGAACTTTTTTATCGGAGATAGCAGCTATCCGAGGCTTCGCCATTTGCTGATTGGCATTCGAAGTAGCGTTCTCCTTCATCCACAACTTCGCCATCTCGGCCTTTTGTTTCTCCTGTTCCCATGTAGTTTGTTTCTGATCGGAATCATCGGCACTTTTATTCAAAACGCTGTTACTACCTTGAAAATGCAAACGAGTGACCGATTGCTCGGGAAAAGCAGTCGTTACCGGCTCGGAATTATTCGAGTCGCTTCTGGAGAAACTGTGAATCGAATTGGGCTGCGCTTCGATTTGGCTGGGCTCTTTGTTAGCCGATTGCTTAAGTAAATTAGAATTATCTCGACTACTCGAGACGCTAGAGGACTGATTAACACTTACAGAAGACTTATCTACATAATCCGACTTGCACTCAGTTTCCGTGAAGCTAGACCGCTTTTCGGACACTTCTTCCTTATTTTTAGCTAACTTCTCTCTCACTGACACCTTGATCTGTTCGTTTTTCGCATTAGATACTGTCTTGGCATTAGTAGCATGGCACAAAGAATCGGGCAAGATTTGTTTATCTATGGAGGGATCCGGCTTTACCTTTCGGTTATCCAGAGAAGCATTCTCAGCTTCTTCCGGCAGAGAATTCGTTACCGTGGCTTGTTGAAATTTGTACACGCCATCTGGAGCCAGCTGAGACTGATAACCACTTTGGGGCTTTTCGTCCGAAGAAATCTTAACTTGAGATTTGCTCTCCGGGTTACATTTAATGTGCGTCTTGGGTTCCGATTTATTCTGCACGCTGGCTTCCTGATTTTGCTGCAGTCGCCTTGCATATGGCGAAGGTACCGGTATATCCTTGTGTTCCAGTGGTGGATATTCCTGGTCCGAACTAACAATCGATGGCGGCCGCTGACCCATTCCGATGGCAGGCAAATCCACTCGAACATGGGACCTTCGAATAACAGTTGCGGTATCCGTCTCGTTAAATTTCGACTCCTTCTCCGCAATGTCCTCGTCGTCCAAGATCTTCTCGATGTACGTCGTGGGCTTTTCAGGTTCTTCCATTTCCAAGTCATAGCTATTGCGCCCTGTAACCATTAAAACACGTCGTTATCCTTAATAATAATAGTGATTAATCATGCATCATCTCAATTAAACACTGCCCCATTCGCAACTAAGCACAACTTCCTCCTTACTTTACTCCCATTTTCAAGATATACCTCGGCAATCGATGCACAGCAGTCGAAGACACATAGCACCGATATACCCAACGATTCCCAAAGATCGGTTCACCTTTTCGAATTCCTTGCACAGGTAAAAATTTAATCCGAACGGCAACTTCCGACCAAAATACACTGATACCTCGAAGGAGCACTCCGCGACCTGTCCTCTCGCGAGTGGGCGTGCATATTCGGGATTCCGAACATCTCCCCGAAAATATATCCGACTTTTCCCACAGACAACACCGATCGAAGATTAAAACGACAGAAATCGTGGTCGACCAAAAATCTGAACCATAGGAACCCGTCAAGATGAGACTCCTGGCAAGAGTTTTCGCACACTTCCAAGTGTAACCCAGATAAAATAAAAAAAATCAATCCTCAAATTTTTAATACCAATTAACACAACGTTTTAATCTGAAGTACGTAAGGAATTTCATTGCAAAATTATTTTCACGTGTTCCCCCATTTGTCAGGTTAACGCAACGTTTTAATTTAAGTACGTAAGAAATTTAATGGTAAAATTATTTACACGTGGAGTTTTGTACGTGCTACCCATTTGTCAGATTAACGCAGCGTTTTAATTTAAGTACGTAAGGAATTCGATAGGGAAATTATTTGCACGTTAAATATTGCACGTGCTCCCCATTTGTCAGGTTAACGCGACGTTTTAATTTAAGTACGTAAGGAATATAATTGCAGAATTATTTGCACGTTAACGTCTGCACGTGCTCCCTCATTTGTCAGGTTGGCGCGATTCACTCGCGGACAAAAGGCGCGGCCCCTCGTTGTCTCGCCGCGGCACTGGTAGAATGTCTAGAATTCGAAAAGCAACAACGATCCACGACGATTTCGCCAATTCCTCGTAATAGCGAGGATTTTTCCGACATCCCGGCGATATAAACCGAAGGAGTTGCAAGCAAACAGATGCCGAACAGGGTTCACACTGATTTCTATAAATAATACCGTTCACAGACTGGTGGGAGTATAAGCTTAAGGACAGGAGAAGGAGTCGAGAGAAGGGGCATGCCCCTTCAAACTTTTACTTTTACTTTTTAGTATTTTGGCAGACTGCCACTTAAAGTCAGGAAGGAGGCACCGACAATTTTAATAACTGCGCCTGGTCAAGTTAAGTACTTCTCACCGTCGTCATTTCGACCGATTTGCATATAATCGTTATATAAATAATCTCACTTTACGTAGCACCTCAAGTTTTCCCCTCAACTAATCACAGGTTGGTCCAAACCCGAGCAAACCTTCTTAACACGTTGTGCAAGAGTACGTTGAATTTATTAATAATAAAAAAAAAGATCCCTTACAACTAATTACTCGCGCCTTCGGTCAGCCTTGAGAGAGGAATCGGTGAGCCGAGAAAGACATCTAGAAAGTTGCAGACAAATTCAAGGAGTCTATGAAGAAAGAGAAAGAAAGAGAATCCCGCCGAGGACGTTGGAAACGTCCAAATGAAAAGCTTTGTCGAGACGGCTCAAACGCCTTTGTCTTGAAACCGTGGAAAATGAATCCTTTGTCAAGTTTGCCGCAAGCTTTGCCGTCCGGAAGAATGCACCGGAACGAGCATGAGGCAATTGGCAAAGAGCTTTCGCGAAAAGTTCACCATTCATCGAGGGAACTCGTTGAATCGTCGGTATATAATCCGAGGAAGTGAGCACGTCTTTTAGCAACAAGCCTCCGCTCAATACTCCATTAAAAACAAAGCATCTATGAAAATGACACCGTCGTCACTTTCCGCGTCCAAATGTGGCAAGCCACGAGTCGGAAAGCTCAAGCCAGAGAATGTATCCCTACCGGTTTGGATCTTCTCGGAGACCTCTTTGTCGGCCTTCTCTTCTTTGCTGTCCTTGGAAGGGGAACTAGGGGAACTCATGCTGGAGGAAGCGCTATCGGTATCTCCGGAGGGCGGCCTCAGCTCCGTATCCGGCGACCTCGTTCTATCCTGCCTCCTCTCCTCGACCCTGTTCTCTTTTCTCTTGACAGTGTCCACGCAGGGCTTCGCCCAGTCCGGCCTAGAATCGACCCGGAAGACCTCCTTCTTAGCCCCGGTCTCGCTCTCCCTGGGAGGTTTCGAGTCCGAGGCATTCCGCAAGATCTCCTCGTTCTTGGCAAGCCACTCGTTCCTCCACTCCGAGGTCTTTGGCGGCGACCGCGAAGGGCTCGCGGGCCGATTCAACATATCCGGAGGTTGCAGAAAGTCCACCTCGGTTTTCGACTTGACCTCAACATTCTCATCCGTCGAGGTACTTGAGGCGTTCTGAACCTTCTCCTGGGGCTTCTCGCGTGACTTAGCGTGCTGAGCATCGGTCGCAACGGCATGGACGCTTTTAGGTGTCCCGGAGACATCGTCGGTCTGCTTCGAGACCCGAGGACTGGTTCTCTCGGAGGCATCGACGCCTTTCGTCGCGTTCTTCCCCGAAACGCCCTTCTGGACGACAGCGTACTCGGGCACAGGAGCGTCCTGAGGTTTCTGTTCGTGGAAGTTGGCCGGACTCTTTGCCGTGTCTCGCCGCTGCTCCTGGTTCCTTGCCGAGTTCTTGGCGGCTTGTGCGTTAGGTACCTTCTGCACCACCGCGTACTCCGGCATCCCGGGGGAGATGTCGAAGGCGTCGTCGACGGTGGCATACTCCGGACTCCCGGGATACTCTGCGTTGGTGGGACTGACAGCTGCTATGCTGGCGGGTCGTTCTTTCCTCAAGTTCCCAGCGGAGGAGTTTCTCGTCGGTGGAGGCGGCGGGGGCGGCGACACGTTGGCGGACGGCCTCGCAGAACAGAAGCTGGCCGACCTAGTGGCGAGGCAGCTCGACGTGTCCGTCAGTCTTTTAGCGTCTTTTTCCTGGTTATCTGCGCCCGTGGCGTGTCCTGGAGCGCCTTCAGCGGCCGCCCTGATCGAGTTCTGATTGAGCGAGGTCTGGACGACCGAGCGATTCGGGTCCGAGTTGTACCTGCTCGGTCTCGTCTTGGAGAAGTGGCTGGTCCAGTTCTTCTGCTTCTCGATGAGCTCCTTCGAGTTCAGCCGTCTCTCGGGTTTCTCGGGCTTTTCGGGCCGCTCGTCGAGGCGGTTCTCCTTACCCGGGCTCTTCTCGAATTTCCCCACGCCCACGCGAGGCCTCAACCTGTCGGAGACCATTTCGGAGCTGTACGAGTGTCCGTTCTCAAAGTGTCTCTCGGCGTTCAGGGCAGGTACGCTGGCGCTCCAGTTGCTCAGGTGATCCCTGGTTCCCGGTGGAGAGGGAGACCGGGGCCGGGGCGACCTCGCCGGGGACGTGCATCCCGATCCAGAGTTCGCCGAGCTGGACCTCGACCTCAGCCCGTGCAGATTCGTAGGCTTGGCGATCCTGTCCGCTCTGAAACCAAGACAACCAATGAATTACCACGAGCCCATCGAAATCAATCGTTTGTTTCTTTCTTCCCCACCCAAGAAGAGATTTCTACTCACAATCGACTTGGCTTGTTCTCCTCGCCAAGCTTCTCAAACAGCGCCCTGGCATTGTTGAATCGCGCCACGTGGCTCTCGGTCCTGACTACCGTAACCTGCGTCGGAGACTCCTTCGACGGTGCGGGAGGCTCTTTGAAGCCGTCCGTCAGGATCGTGTTTGATCTGTGGCTCGGGTTCTCCAGCTGGGGCTTCGACTGAAATATATTCGCTATCGCCGAGACCTTCGAGCCCCCCATTCGCTTCTTCTCCTCCACCGTTGCCATCTTTGACGTGCTCGTGATGTTCTTGAAAGGAAATGCTTGCATAAATTAAAACCAAGGAGGCAAGGACAGCCGAAGGCGCTATTCGAGGCCATAAAAAATGCATACCTAGGATAGGAAGAATGCAGGAGTCGGTTGCGTGCAATTCAGCGGCAGGTGATGTTTCAGCCCATTGTCATTCGTGTAGATCCGTAGTTTCATCGGTCCTGGGGTACCTGGAAGGAACAAGGATCTCTATGAGCGATCGATCAACCAGGTATCGACGATCGGACGACACCGATCCCTTTTCGCCCCTTTTCTCGCGTCGTTCGCCCCTCGACCGCCGATTTCTGGTCATTGAGCATCTCCGTACTCCATGGACCGAGCCGACCTTTGTCAAAGCCTTTGTCGCGAAGCCTCGTCGATAGGTGAAGGTCGACGGGAATTCCTAACATTAGAGATTCGGCCTGGCCCCGTTGAATCGACACGGCGTGAATATTCCGAAGAGCAGTCCGCAAAAAATGGAGGATGCCGAAGACCGAGTCCAAGGTACTTCGAGGCCCTCCCTGAAGGGATCCCCCATGTATGGGGAAGAGGTCCCTTCGAGTCGGGAGGAGTGCACTCGTTTACGACGGTCCCTTTGTTTTCTAATTCCAACAAAGACCAATCCCGGTGGGAATGATTTAAGTCGGAGTTCAAGTGGGAGACGCGTTATATAGAGGCTGGTCTTGTCTGGGCTTCACCCCTCCTCTCGTTTGCCAGAGCACGGCATACTGTTCTCCTGCAATCAATACTTGAATCCTGCCCTGTGCCTGTGGTTAAGAGGCGAAAAGAGGAGACATCCGCCTTTCGTAGATCCCCGGTGGTTGTCCGATCGATCTATCGAGGCTTCCCGGTGCATTCGGTGCACTCTTCTCGCAGCACCGAAGACCGCGCCAGGGAGGGAGCGACTTCGCCCTTCCCCGATAACTCTATATCATCGGTGCCTTTTTGCTCGGTGTTCTCGTCGGCGATTTTAAGGCAAAGTTCACGTTCATTCATAACAGCCGATCGTGACCTTCCGCATGCTCGGCTCGGACCTGCGTCTGCAGATAAGACGCGAAAACAGGGAACGCACGAGATTTAACTAGTTGACCACGTTGAGTTAGGCCGAGACCGAGACCATGTGGGAAAAACTAACGACGGGCGAAATCGGTCCTGGTCTTAGTCTTGCAAAAAATGCAGAATTTCGCCCGTCGCTGCGAAAAAAACGCGCCTCCGTCCCAGAGTTACGCCGCTAAAATCCGATCTACCTACGACCCATTTTGTGCCGTACATTAGGCGCTCCATTAATTTACAAAGGCCTACCCCCGGACACTCCGCAATTGGCCAGACTCCACGCGGTGATTAAAAAGAATACGTCCAGGCTTATCAGCAGGGCGAGTCGACGATAGATTTATCGATACCATTCCGATTGCTAGCGATTTGGTTCGCGATCCGCTCGCTAGGTCTCTGGAAGGTGAGAACGGAAGCAACGAGTCTTTTAACTGAGAGAGCGTAATGCAATTAGCGTTTTCTTACACATCCGTTCGAGGAAGTTCTTACACGCTGGTTCAAGGAAGAACCGTGGCAAATGGTTCGCTCGTTAAACTCTATTATGACGGGGCTTTAACCTAGGTAAATACTTGTACTCTCGACGGCCTTGAACTAGGCCTTGACTGTACAGTATGCTGTGCTACTGGCCTCTCTTTTCCGCCGTTCTTCCCGTAAGGCCCTTGTAATTATGCATTAGCATATCGGAATGTCCGCCACAACGTTCCCCGCCTCAGGTAGAATTTCCAGGCCGGCACCGATCATGCAAATAAAGGAGAAAAGCGCTTCCAAACGATAAGTGGCCTTTCGAGTCGGAGATGCCTCTGATCGGGAATAGTCGAGGATGTACAGTTACCTCCGTACTTTCGTTGCATACGAATAGTTCGTGCATTCCTGACCCAATACAAGAACCTACTAGACTTTTAGCCACACTTTGGAAGTGAGGTAGCAGTCTGGAAGCTTTTTTGCCGTGCCCCCCCCCCCCCCCCCCCCCCCCNCCCCCCCCGAACGTGCACTGCTTACCTAGCAACACTGCCTTCCTTTGACGCGTATACCATTGTCAACGGGCTTACTTTTATCAGAGGCCTACTCTTATCAACCCCCCTCCCTATGTACAGATAAGTCGGCAAAATTTATAAACTACTTTTGCGAAACACTTTCCAGAAATGGAAATTGCTTTTTCCCCTAGGTGACTGAACCGCCATTCAAGAATTGACATAAAAGAGACTGTCAACGGTATCTTTCTAATGATTATGAGGGTACACATGCTGTTAACAAAATTGAACGACCAATTAATAGTATCGAGTCGAACCTGGATATTCATTGATGACAAATAATAGGGTTTCACATCTTGGATCATATTATCACTCTATATGGGAATACACGTAGCTTCGACGTAGAACACCTGGCAGCGGAATGTATCGGAATCCGACCAAGCAATGAATTCGAGGCACTGAATTCTTGTCTCGAGTTCATTCGTCCATTGTACGATGCTTGCAGTAAGCTACTTAGAAGAAAACCAAGCATTCCAACAAGACCAGCCATGCAACCCATGGTACGAATTTGGCTTTTCTTCGTCGCAGGGTATGTATTCTTTCTGCTCTTCACGTAAGCTCTAGTTTCTTGACCCAAAGTCTCCCAGGTCTCCGAGGCAGTTAATCTTTGAGAACTGAAACGTGCTTTTGAAAAGTATTTGTAAATTCAAACTCACCAGAGGTGTCACCATGTGTAGGGGAGCATTTTTCGAGGGCGAAGACGGGCTGGTCTACCGATGGCCTGTCCCGGCAGGTGCAGTGGCCGACGATGGGCTCTCTGTATCGGGAAATGACATTTGCTCGTGGACGCGTAGCAGGAAATCCGCGAGACTGTTTCTTCGGATCGGCTTCTTCTGTCAGCCGAGGTGGCTGCTACTCGTCTCGGTCAGAGCGCTCCTGTTTTCACCGATTTTTTCGCCCAGCGGAGTATCGACGCCCAGCGCAGCACTCGCCGCGCACCAACGGTAGCGTCCTGCCCGTCCCTTAACCTCCCAACCAGTCGGTAATCGGTATTAATTTGAGGGCACCTCGAATCTCGGATCACAAAACACTTTCGCGACCGGCTGGGAGCTGCCCGTGTCAACAACCCGTGAAAAATGGTCCAAGATGGTGGCCATCCTATTTAAAGATGGCGGCATTTAAACGCCCTAGGGACTTTTCGACGCGAGCAAAACAACGCATGGAACTCGAAAGAAACCGACCGCTGGCCGTTTTTTGAACGAATTGGCACTTGCAAAAGACATTCGTTAGTCTAATGCTATCCCGTAAGTCGACTGCGGTTCGTACTTGCTAAGAGTTCTGATTATTTCTCAGACAGGCTTCGGCAGTTTTTGAGGCGATCAAGCGTATCGATCCCTTGAAAAATCCCTAGTGGCGCAAGCTGACCAATCCAAAAGAGCTGTTGGCTATATCGACTGTGATCAGAAGGTGTATTACCAGAGATGAGCAGGTCTGGTATTACCAGAGATGAGTTGGGAGATTGCTCACGGGCAGGGTCGCGCGATCGCGTCGTGTGCTGCCCTCTGGTTTTGTACGTGAGCTTTCACCGTTTTTTGCGCCCAAGGGCGGCGCAACAAATTTCTGACAGGGACTCACGCACTCGCGATGGCGGTGCCATCTACCAGTCGCCGCTNGTGAGAGCCGGTATTCCAATTGGTTTTATTTCTTGACAATGGAACAAATTTATTTTATTGGTAGTTGAACAAATTTTGAACTATCAATAAATAAACATCGTTTATGACGTGACTTCATGTCAAACATTTTCATCTTTCTCACCATTAGGAAGCATTCTTTTCGTAAATTAGTATAAATTGAGACCGTGCACGTCTTTCACAATTTTCTCCAATTACATCTTCAAGTTGCACAGGCACATATCTAAGCTGTAATGGTATTATATACATATATAATTGATTTCATTAGTATACGTAATAATTATAATTTTATTTGTTGTAATCATTACATATGGTAAGATGGCAATTCCAGTTATATTTTTTCGGCGCCCCCCGGTAATCAGCATCGTGGCTCCCGGACCGGAAGTGCGCTAGAATAGGGGAGATCGGGGCAATTTATCCCGCGGGGTAAATTTACCAATGTTTAATAATTTTTATATTTTTTATTTTATATCGTTCTCGATTTTAGCATACATTCCTAATCGTATCCCACACTTTCGTTGGTACTCGATATCATTTTCTGCGACGTTGTTTATTTGTTAAAAAATAAAACGAAAACTGCAACGATAGGTAAATTTGTTTAATCCCCTTTTTTTTTTGTTAGAGCGCGTTAACCGAACGCGACTCGAAAACAAAAGCATGCGAGAACGGCAATTGCGTTAAGATTATTAGCGCTCATACATGTTATCGGCTGTGAAACTTAACAATATTAAAACAATATTAACAATATGAATACGAAACTTATTTCAACTGTGAATATATATATGTCCCTTATTTTAATTGCTGTTCATACTGCTATAAAAGTTTTTAAATAGAAAATGTTTTTTTCATAACATTTCCAACATAAGATAATGGCAACAGACAGCACGTGGTCGAGCGGCTTCGCCGGACAATTACATTGACAATCGCTCTTAATATATTTCCTAGAGATATCAATTCTCTCCGGTCGTCACTATATCGATCGATTGTCAAACGATGAACTATTTTATTTAAAGAAAATATACACGGTNTTGCCTAAAAAACCGTATCCACCCTTCCCCTCCGTCAGGATTTCATCTTGCGACAAGGAACGTTACACCTGACGTCATATCGACTACGTCGAACCATGTTGTTGGGTATCTCCTTTCATCTAGGTTTTATGTATTCCCTACGGAACATTCATAATTTTTTTATTAATTTTCGTAGCTTATAAAAATCGTATCTACAGTTATTATAACTCAACTCTCGAGCACCCACTTTGTAATTTTGTCTGTATCATTTGCGGATGAAATAAATGAGGTAAGTGAAGGGTACAATCAAAGAGGGCGGCACGAGTGTTCTTCCCTTACCATTAAAAGCGATCAGTGTCGGTAAGCATAAGTAAGCCACCACCGTCAACTGCTGCATGGTATTACCATCACGAGTACGTGAGCCGCCAGCGGCGACTGGTAGATGGCACCGCCATCGCGAGTGCGTGAGTCCCTGTCAGAAATTTGTTGCGCCGCCCTTGGGCGCAAAAAACGGTGAAAGCTCACGTATAAAACCAGAGGGCAGCACACGACGCGATCGCGCGACCCTGCCCGTGTGCAATCTCCCAACTCATCTCTGGTGGGGATTGTCAAATATATTTCACCACTTTATTTATAGTTATTGCTTTATTATTATAGAAAAAGTAGCGGATTTCCACGTGCGCTCTAGAATTGGTCACGAAGCTTTCTCCTCGGTTTTCAACCGTTTTAAAACATTTTTCGACGTAGTTGTCTTTTCGTTCCAGGTAAGTACAGTAATGTGCACACGGGATAACGCAGTTTGCCCCGTCCTGAACCCATCGCTCTCGTCGCGCACGACGCCCCTGGTGGTCGATGGCCGGACTTCGTCCCGGGCCCGCCACAGGTGCGTGTCCGTGCTAAATCGCTTGCACGCGCGCGAACCCAGCGAAACGCCTCGAGTAACGTTTTCGTAGCCCCCTCCCCCCTCGCCCCCGCGAAGGGCATGGAACGTTCTAGAACGTTCGATTGCCGTCAGCCACCCGATTCCACGAATTTTGCATCCGACACTCGATTCCAAGAATCGCGTCGGCGCCCTCGGTCCCGCGACGAGATTCCGAGAATTCCCGTCGATCTCGGAGGACGGTCGATCGTGGAAGGGTCTGGAACGTTCCAGAACGTTCGAGACACCCAGGGAGCGATGCAACCGGGACCTTTTGCCCTTGCAGTCGACTCGCTCCTCCCCGTCGATTCCTGGAATATGCCCGCATCGTTCCGACGTCCACGAGCCGATTTCAGACTGCAGCGTTCCGACGTCCGCGAGCCGATTCCAGAAATTTCGTCGGCACCTTTTGGAGTCCTTTCGATCGCGCGAGCGTAAGGAGCAGCCTCGCAATTACATGTTAGAACTTGTTCCACAAGTATCAGATCCGAAGATTCCGAAATTCGCTATTGGTTCTTAGAAGTATCGGATTTCGTTGCAGTTTCGGTGTCAAATTACCTAAGTGAGGGTGCCTATAAATGACCTTTGAGCTTAATCTCACCATAGTTCCGAGTCAATCCTCACCGAGCGATTACAGCCCCAGATAGAAAGAAAAAATAGATAGCAAGCAATGTACTAAGCTGAGTAAAATTATGGAGGAGACGTATCGTCTTCTGGACCGATCTTCGTCTACGCAGCATAATAAATGGATCAGATTTGGGACTCAAAATTTACGTCTTTTGAATAAAATTCTGAGAAGGAGTGCTCTCTCGGTGGGAGAGAGGATACGCATCTTTACGACGATTTCGATACTGAAATCGCTCGGCGAAAAATTCAAGGAACGACGAGAGGAGGGTCATGGCGTTGCGGGACACAGGAGAAGAGATCGAGTCCGTTGGAACGATCTGGAGACCGCGTTCAAATCGAGAGTAAGGACCGAGGTGATAGTCAACCTGCAGCACAAGGACTTGAAACGGTTCCTGGAGGATTCGAAGGAGCTGATCACCGTTCGACGGAGGAACGCTCTCCAGAAGGAGGGTAACGTGAAGGTGAACGTTATGCTGTGCTGTAAATTTGAGATGATGAAAGACGGTGAAACAGTTGAAGAGATGAAGTTCTTCAACACGAAGAATGAAGTCATTCTTTCGGCAACGAACATCGAGCAGTGGTTTGACGAGCACGCGAAGAGCAAACTGCTGGTCGACATCGAGGATTTTCAGGAAAGAGAGTCGGGCTGGTCGTTAACCGAAATCATAAATTTAATGGTGAACGTTAACAAATACGTACCGTTACGTGGTGGCGTATCCACATACGTCGACCTTCCGAAAGATATACAAAATAGGAAAGCCGTCGTGAACGTTAGAAACAACGACTCATTTTGTTTCCTGTGGGCCGTTACGTCAGCCCTTTTTTCAGCCATTGGCCATGTAAGTCGTGTAAGTTCGTACCCACATTTCAATTCAGTATTAAAACATGAAGGTCTACATTTTCCGATAAATTTAAAGGATATTCCGTAGTTTGAAAAATTAAATGGATTAGCAATTAATGTTTACGGGATAGAGTCAAGTGGTAGAAAAAGTGAAATAATTCCATTTTACTTGAGCAAACAAATCTCGGACAAATCCATGATTCATCTGCTTATGGTAGAAAGTAAAATTGAGGATGACGATGATGACACAGGACTCCAGTCAAAAAATACAGTGAATATTTTGCATGGATCCGAAATCTGTCACGTCTACTGAGATCCCAAATTACTAAACATGAGCACGACGTTAAATTGTGTGATCGGTGTCTATGTCATTTTGTAACGACGAATTCTTTCGAGAAACATAGACTCGATTGCATGAATATGAATAAGTGCCGAGTCGTTTTACCGAGCGAAAAGGAGAAAATCTTAAAATTTACAAATTACAAATACCAAGAAGCCGTACCTTTCGTTATATATGCTGACATTGAATGCATGTTGGAATCAGTCACCAACACCGCTCAATCGACAAACGCGATACCGTATCAAAAACTTACCCCGTATAGTATCGCATGCTATCTGCATTGTACCTTTGACGAGTCGTTATCCAAATTTAAAATTAATCGCGAAGAGAACTGTATACAGTGGTTTATGGACGAGCTACGGGAATTAGCACAATCTTTGGAATATTATCATAAACGCGTCGTTCCTATGGAATCACTCAATACCACGCAGATACAAGAATTTGAATCTGCAGCGTTTTGTCACATCTGTAAAAAACCCTTTACACCTCAGGATGTCAAGCATCGAGATCACTGCCACTCTACGGGCAAGTATCGCGGTCCTGCACATCCGGGGTGTAATTTGAATTATAAAAATTCGCACACCGTTCCCGTAGTTTTTCACAATCTGTCAGGCTACGATTCACACTTTTTAATTAAAGCCTTAGCCAATTCTTTCGAGGGCGCGATTCGCCTATTACCGATAAATAAAGAGAGATATATAGCATTTACAAAGAACGTCAAAGGCACGAGCATTAATTTTCGTTTCATTGATTCGTTCCGGTTCATCGCCAGTAGTATCGAAAAATTATCGTCTTATCTGGACGATTCCGGGAAATTAATTACGCGTAAACACTGCAACAGCGTACAGGAATTTGAACGTTTGACTAG